TACCAAAGTGGCAATCAAGCAAGCGCTTCGTCGGAATTGGACCAAAATACCGCAGAGCAACATTCGGGCAGCGTGTGGCGTTTTCATTGGCCGTTTGAAGGCCATAATTCGTGTCAAAAGTGACCAATCCAAAACAAATCTAAACATATTCTAAAATTTGAAGCTATTTCCGAAAGTTTTTGCTTTCATTCAATAAAAATTAAATATGATGTCATTTCCGACATTTTTGCTTTCATTCAATAAAATTTAGAAAAAAATCAAAAATTATGGCGTTTGACTTTGTTGCAGTTTTTTATCTTACCCTGTATTTCAATGATGCATTTTGTCCAGTCTTGTACGATATACGTGACGTATACGCTACGTAATTGGCATTAAAAATTGAATGGATTTAGTAGTGTAAACGTGCTCTAATGTAAACATAACATTATATCGAAAAAAGGTTTTACAGATCATTTTTCATCTTCTTTGTAGCTTTTTCGAAATGTCTAGAAAATAATGCCTTTATAATTTCCAGAGCATGAAAATTAATTGATGTTTTACCTATTTTTTATCTCTCCTTGGTAGTCATTACAACATATGTAGACTTTCCATCCCTGTCATATGTGACATATCATCAAACTCTGCTGCATGAATATTTCTACCAAGAGAGTGAGTGTCACAAAGAAATCTTTCCTGTTTTATTAAACAAATTAATTGGGTTATTAATTTCATGTGGATCATCAAGTCCCTAATAAAGGGATTGAGGAGGGTGGGGGTGGCAAATATGTGTATGTGCAAAACCTCAAGTCATCGAAATGTTCCTTGTACCCACATTTATTATTGCTGGTGTTTGTTGCTAGCTAGTGTATTGTACCTCCTTAACCGTGTAGAAGAAGAAGAAGCAGCAGAAAAAATGAATGCATTACATGGAATTTTCTATCCACTTCTGGGGTTTTCCCATGTTCGTAAATAACAACACGAACTCGATTTGCGAGAACCTGCTTCAACAAATTGCGGAGGAGAGAGAGCACACACCATCATCATCACATCACATACACCAAAAAAAAGGAGAAAAAGAGAGAGACACTAACTACGATGAGGCGACGAGAGGGATATTGCAAAAACAACACAACGCACAGAGCCAAGCCAGCAGATGCTCTCAATAAAACAAGAAAAAAAAATATGTTGATATGTAAAGGAAACGAGGAACGAGAAGAAAGACACGAATATTAATCATAGTTTTTCACGATAGAAAGAATTAAAAAAAAACAAGAAACAAATTATATATATTCCTATTACAGCAATTAATTAACACCTGTAAAACTAATTTTTTCTTCTTTTGAAACTGAGAAAAAAAAATATTTTTTTTGATATAAAATACCAAAAGAAACACACGAATTGTATTAAACCAAGGTTGTTGATTGTTGCGTTTGTATACTTCTTGGCCAATATGTTTTCACAATGAGTGGCTGGCTGGCTAGCTGCTAGGCCAGCAGTTTGTATGTCTGTCTGTCTGTCTGTATGTTTGGTTCACTGCGTTTTTACTTTGCGATGACGACGTTTTTGTTGTTGTTGTTGGTGGTGGTGGCATGGTATTAGTGGTTGATTTATATATCATTTTGGCTTACTGTGTTGTCTTTATTTTAACATTTTTTGGTCTTTTTATTTTAAAGAGCAAATAAAACACATAGGTGGTATTGGTGCTGCTTCTGCGGCTGGTGGTGGTGGTGGTAATGGTGGTTACTATTGTTGGATGACTGATGAAATTTTTTCATCATTCCATTATAGCTGGCATTTGTGTAACATATTTTTGCAAAAAAAAACGTTTAAATTGTTTATAACATTATTACATTACAATTCTAACGTGCTTTTGTTACGAAAATTAATCACAAAATTAAGTTTCTTTAAACAACGAACTTCGCACAAAACCCGACGATTGTTTTTTTTTCTTTTCCTTCATTTCCACGGGGCGAGCAATACTTGCACACGACTGTGGTGTGTAACGCAAATGTACATTTTTTTTTTGGCCGAGCGAAGAAACGAGACAGATCGAATTTTTTCTTTCTTTATTTTTTAAATGATTTGACAATATGATTTCGAAAACAAAAAAAATGATGCACAATATAATAAAAATTCTGTCCAAAAAGACGTCAACGAACATAAGACACAAGAGGGGAACACTTTGAATGAGATTTTTTTGTGATTTTTTCCATTATACATGAAGAATTACGCACTTGATCTGGGGGTTCTCGGGCACTTTATTTCTTGGCAATCTAGGAAACGAAAAACCCAAATTCAAAAGAACTTTCGTTGTTCTATTATCTCTATACACAGCACGTTTTCGAGTTTATTGCAATGCAATAAATTCATGGAATATGTATTTTTGGTAGTTTTAATTAATTTTTTTTTATTAATTCTAATCGTTCTGTCAGTCACACAAAATCACGTCATGGCTTGCCTTGCCACGTCCAAGCAACAATGAATCGTTACTTCTCACAGTGTTCCTCTCAATTGGGCAAAAAAGAGAAATACAAAGGAAAATGGAATTGAAACGTTGTCACGAGAGTGACAGAGATGAGTGTTGACGTTTCTAGTTGAAAAATTGTGACAAGCGAATGTGCAATGCTTAGGGAGAAAAGAGACAGAGTGATGGACAAACATCGTCAATGTTGCCAGATTGTTTTATTGCAAAAGGTTAGATAACATTGTTATTGTCATCATTAAAATGTATTGGAATGAAGAAATGCAAAACGAAGAGATGAAAAAATAGCAACATTTGGCACATGAAATCAACTGGAGAATGAAATGAGCTCGTTTCAATTTCATATTGTCAAGACCATTTGTTTCAATGTATTCGTGTAGGCAGTAAGTAAATACTTCAAAATTTAATGTAAGCAATTAATTGTAAATCATCATCATTTCTAGAGAAGTTTTTTAACAATGGGATGTTGTTGTTTCTCTTTTTGTTCACTCGTAAATTTCAGATAATTAAAAAAATAGAATTGGAAGAGAGTTAAAAAATTTAAATAAAAATGAGCAAAAGTGCTTTCCATAGTAGAACTAAGGTAAAATCATGCAATCATATGTTTAAAATTTTTTCCAATTTTTACTTTTGACAACATCTCATTGTCAAAATGTATATTCATAAATTCATAGTATATACAGGGTGAGATGAAAAAACTGCAACCAACTTCAGACTGTTGTCATCGCTAAGCCACTCGTTAGACAGATGTTAAAATTTTTAGTACATTTTGGTGAGAATTTTCCGGAAAAAAAGTGATGGAATTCAAGCGTGGTAGTGCGAAGCGACTTGATCGAAATCCGCGTTGCAGTGGCCGAAAAATTGCTTGTGAGCTGAACATATCGCAATAATCCATTCGGCAAATATTCAAAAATGAGCTCGGGCTAAGGCCATTGAAATTCCAAAAAGTGCAAGAACTTACATCGCAACAGAAAGAAAATAGACTCAAAAGAGCTAAAGAGTTGCTTCGCTTGGTCGAAAGTGGTGAACTGCCGAATCCAATTTGGTTTTTTCCGATGAGAAGACATTCGATGGTCGCTCTCCGCTCGTATTAATCATAATATATGCCGAATATTATCGAGAAAATATTCTGGAGGGTGTATTAAAGCCTTGGGCACGAAAACATTTTGGCCGCAGACCTTGGACATTCGAACCGGACTCAGCACGCGCCAACAAAGAATAGTTCTAAAATGAGGTTCCTCGCTTCATTTCCAGCGCACAATGGCCACTAAAATCTCCGGATACCATTCCGTTGGACTATTGTGTCTGGAGTATTTTTCAAGGAAAGCAAGGTTGGCAATAAAAAATAATCATTGGCCGATTGAAGGCCATAATTCGTGCCAAAGGTGACCAATTCGAACAAATCTAAACTTAATTCTAAAATTTGATGCTATTTCCCACAATTTATGCTTTCATTCAATAAAAATTTAAAAAAAATGTAAAAATTATGGCGTTTGACTTTGTTGCAGTTTTTTTTATCTCACCCTGTGTATTTACCTGAAGTTTACACATGAAAGTGACTTTAGCAAATTGACACTTGCATGTGCAAATGCTATACTAAAATTTAAAGCTTTATCACAAATTAGGTTTATTTATTGTAACTTAGTTTTAAATTCAGTTTGTAAATAAAATTGCATTGTAAAATTAAAAAAGTAACACGCAGAGCGATATTTAAATAACGTTTTGTGTGCTTTACCATAAATAATTTCAAAATTTTATACATAATTTAAAAATGAGTTATTGTTAATCTAATTACTTACCTGATTCTTACATTCATCTTAAAACAATCAAATAATATATATTTATAAATATTTTTAATTTCGGTGGCAAACTGTCAAAATCAAGAACTTGATGATTTTAGAAAGTGAAATTAATATTAAAGTATGTATATGACCTTTTATAAAATTATTTTTCCCAATTTTTGAAAAAAATTTCAACATTTTTGTTTTCTAGAACAAATTTGTGTTTTCTTTTAGGGAACACACCTAATGCAACAACTGTGTCATAAATAAAGGAATGAACTTTCATGTAAATACAGCCCTGATAGGTGTTTCATTTCATTGTATGATGAGAAACGTCAAGAGAATAAAACAGTATATAGCTCTCTCATGAGACCTGATTAATAAAAACAAATGTTAGAATGAGATAGAAGAGAATGCGGGAAATTACAACAAATTGCGAATTTTTTTATCTAGGGCCACAGCAGTTTTCCATTTTATTTTTTATTATAAAAAGGATAATGCAAACTCTGGGCAATGTAAATTCCAATGCAAACTATCACATAAACAAATGCCACACTGAATTTGTACATAAACACATATTTTAACATTACATAGCGTCTGAGAGTGGTAAAATGTTTGTTTTGATTCTCCACTACATGGTGCTGCCATTGAGACACCACAAGCCGACGCTTAATTTTTTTTGTGTGCCATGACATGCTTGCTTTCTTGTCGCTGCGTTTTTGGCATTTGACTTTTTCTTGAATTTTTTTACCACTTACCATGGATAGTTTCCTCATTTTCTTCTTCGGAAGCCATTGTCAATGATTGGCAAGAGATTTGTTGATTAAATATAAAACAACTACACTTTTATTTTGCAAAACAAAAAGAAATATTCACAAGTTTTCTCCACACGCACACACTAAAATGTATCAGATCACTAAGAGAACCAAGTTCAACTAAATCGTTGGCATCGGCGTTACTATGGAGCTGCGCGGCAATTTGTGTCGCCGGTGTTCTCTTGAGACAAAGTAGAGCCTACACTAGTTGCGTGCGCCTCAAATTGAATTTATAACAAAAAATACTAAATAAAATTAATTACCTATTTCAATAAGAAATAAACAAAATTTGTTTAGAAAACATTCAATAGTTGTTAAGCTTTGGGTGACATTTCCAAATAATGCATTAAAAAAATCCCCAATATCTAAGAAAATCCCAATATTGGCAACTCTGTAATGTTTTTTTTACAAACTCTAATCTCCAACTCTCCCACTAAAAACAAAATATGCCGCAACGAATAACACGTCAAAAAAACAGACTGTAGAATAGTGAAATACCAATTCCATTATTGTTCAAATAAAATGCCACATTGAATTCCTTTCTTTGGCTCTTATTTAGCCTACCACTTGTTTGTTTTGATTCTTTAAATGCCGAACAATCGCCAATAAGCAAGTTTTGTTATTGTTCCATCAACATGCTTGCAATTTTGTTTATCTTGAAAATGACTTACCTTGCATAGTTTCTTCATGTTCTTCGTCCGAAGCCATTTTCAGTTATTCAAATGTTATTATTTTTTAAGATAAACTTCAATTATTTAATTTATTATTGTGCAAAAACGATAAATGCAATTTCACAAGCACTCACTCTCAATACTTTTCACACTCCGGTTCTAAGAGAGCGCGGAGCCAAACTTCAGTGTTTATAACGGCGGCACAGAAAGTAAAGACCGCCCTTTTTAAAGTGTACCATTTGTGTTGGCGTCTGTCATATACTTTTCATATAAATTCATGGATATAAAGCAATAACAGCTTTCATATCAATAAACTTTGGCATAATTAAGAAATTTATTTCAGCAACTTATTTTACTCACACTAATATTATAATAAATAGTATCTTGTCACATTTAATATGTCGCCTTACGTAGACATTTAAGATGTAATCCAGTTCTTGACAGCTGTCAGATAGTAAACGTTTTTCGTTTTGTTGTTCGGATTCACAAGCTTCCCCGACTTCTCTTTTGTATAAAAAAGAAAACTACTTCCAACAATTTCATGGTGTTCCACATTGACCATTTCTTGTGAATTCTATGCTATCGTCCACACACACATGATTGGTAAATAAGCCTTTGATCTATTAACAGTCCATATTAATTGTGAAATTATGTCCTATTCGCGCAAGGAGATCGATGACTTGCATGCTGACATTGTTTCGCTGGTCGCCGCGAAGGCAAACCTAACCAGCAGCGATGAACAACGTAACGTGGTAGCTTCCATCGAACACTGCCTCTACAATGGGTATGAACGTCGGCGTATATGTGAAAAATTGGAAAAATATATGGAACCGAAATATTCGTCCAAGTTGGTTGACAAGCTGCAGGATCGTCTAGATGAATACAAACGAAAGCAAAGAAAACGCGCAAATGATCCAAGCGATTCTTCTAAACCAGCTGAGGGTGGATCGGAAGTTGCAAAGAAATCCCGCTTCGATGTGGTCACACCCAGTGCCGCCAATGGTAATGGTGCCAAGGCCGCGGCTCCTCAAGTTCCAAGTGTGGCACCCATAACACCAGCAACGACATTACCCACAATGCCCGCGTCGCTAATGGGAAGCCTTGGCGCAACATCATCGCTTAACAGCAATCAAATAAAATTAATGATGGTTAATGCCCAGCGTGAAATCGAGGAGCGGAAAAGAGCATTGAGTCAACTTAAGGGCAAAGATCCGTTGCTGGCATCTTTGCAACACCCCCCACCAACAACCCCCCTGATTAATCAAAATTTGGCTAAGGTTAGTAGCGAAGCCGATGAGAAGGCAAGAAAAATTGCCGAATTGCAGGCCCAAATTCGTGCAAAGTTATCCGGTTCTTTGGGAGCGTTAATACCTCCCATAACACCGGCCGTCACCGAACGCCCAAAGCCATTGATTTTGGATGAAGAGGGAAGAACCGTTGATAAAAGTGGCCGGGCCATTAATATCCCAACTGTAACGCCCACACTTAAGGCAAATATTAGGGCCAAGAAACGTGAGGTTTTCAATAAGTCTCAACACCATACCGATAAGACCTCAAGCCAAGATGACACATTGAAATTTTTCGATGATCGAATAACCCTGAAACCGGGTAGTCGCAATAAGAGAGCTTTACGTTTCCATGAGCCTGGAAAATTCCAACAAATGGCCGAACGTATGCGTATGAAAGCCCAACTGGAACGTTTGCAAAATGAAATATCACAAATAGCTCGGAAAACTGGTATAAGTTCGGCGACAAAGCTGGCCTTGATTGCACCCAAACAGGATACACCCGATGATGTGCCATCTATGGAATGGTGGGATTCGGTAATTCTTACCAATGACCTTAACACATTGGATGAGGATGGAAGAATTAAGATTCGTCAATCGGCCATAACAAATCTTATTGAACATCCCACACAAATGAAACCTCCTAGTAAGTACCTATTTCTCGCAACTTTTTATGTTTTTAAGGACCTCAATTTGACTATATTTTTTTCTCTCTCTAGACGAACCCTTAAAGCCGGTATATTTGCCTGTATTCCTCACCAAAAAGGAACGCAAGAAACTACGTCGCCAGAATAGACGTGAAGCGTGGAAGGAGGAACAGGAGAAAATACGTTTGGGTCTAATACAGGCTCCGGAGCCCAAGTTACGTATTTCTAATTTAATGCGTGTTTTGGGTACCGAAGCTGTACAAGATCCCACGAAAATCGAGGCACATGTGCGAGAACAGATGGCCAAGCGACAAAAAGCCCACGAAGATGCAAATAATGCTCGAAAACTGACCGCGGAACAGAAGAGTGAAAAGAAGATTCGTAAAATCAAAGAAGATACCTCGTGTGGTGTGCATATCAGTGTCTATCGTATCAAAGATCTACAGGATAATGCCAGTAAAAAGTTTAAGGTGGAAACCAATGCCAAACAATTGCATATGACTGGAACGGTGGTATTGTTTCGAGATTGTTGTGTCGTTGTGGTGGAGGGCGGCCCGAAGCAACAAAAGAAATATCGCCGCCTTATGCTGCATCGCATCAAGTGGGATGAGGATATTGTTAAGGGTCCCGATGGCCAAGAAGTTCCTAATTCATGTGTATTGGTTTGGGAGGGTACAAGTCAACGTCGTCACTTTGGTGAAATTAAATTCAAAGTATTTCCTATGGAAAAAATGGCACGAGAATTCTTCCAAAAGCATCAAGTTGAACACTACTGGGATTTGGCTTATTCAGGAGCTGTGCTTGAGGCCTCTACTGATGAGTAAACATGTAAAGTTATACGACTTGTTATAAAAAAATCATACTTTAGGCTATTATTCAGGGAACCAAATTCATCATTCATGTTCATTCATGAAAGGCGTCAACTAAAAATATAAACAAAATTCTCGATTGTGTCTTTCGGTACATGATGTGTGTTTTATTCTTATTACGAGTTATTTTCCATATCTTCATCTGAGCCATTGCTCTCCTCCCCTTCTTGGCTGGCAATGTGTTGTTTAACCTTGTTGACTAGAACGTGTTTAATTGTGTCCACCATACGTAAATTTATTGCCAGGGAATGGTCACACAAACGCTCTAGGGTCTCTGGCAGGAGATAACCTTTTTGAAAACATTCTGATATCTGCCCCACTCCGGATAAACTGGCTGTTACTAATACTCCATGTTCTTCCGAGGAGTTGTCACATCCTGGTAGGCTTCTCAACAAGTCCTCTACGTCAGCTGAATACATTTTTTTAAAATAATAATTAACATTGAAAATGCTACGAGATTTGCTTCATCTCACCTGTTGGATTAACAAACTCCTGGCCATTTAGTACACAAACGGTGGATGATGTTAACAAATCGTAGGTGGGTATACCACCTTCAATCAGTGCTGCACCGCAACAATTGATTGCCGTACTCAGGGCACATCCATCATCATCAATTATCAGAACCTTGATCTCCAGCTGGAAATTGGCAAATTCGTGACGACAAATAACCGGCTCTAAGGCTTTCTTCAAGGCCACACTCATAAAAGATTCTTTGCGGGCAACAACTTCGGAATCTAGGGCAGCAAAGGGGGCATATTTGACACTGCATAAAATCAAGCCAAGTGTGCCACTGTAAGAAAATACCTCTCTATTAGTAAAACTCTTTCGCTTGATCGGGATTCATTATTATTACCTTCTGTTGCTATTTTTACTTATTTCCTTTGGTGGTTCTACTTGGGCCATAACTTTTGTGTTGCCATATTCCATATAGGCAGAGCCTTTTACATTGGACACCGCTCCAACTTTAATAACTGCAGACAATATGAATATTATTTTAATTGTAAAACTAAAAGTTAACTTCTACATCTTACATGTGGGTCTGGGTTCAAGTTCTAACGTTTTTGGTGTAGTTAATCTGTCGAAAAGTTCTTTTGGATTTACCCGAGGAGCATAGCTTCCAAATACAACACCACTCTGGGCCATTTTTGTCTCTTTACAATGGTTTGGAGGGAAACGTGCGTGCTTGCTTGCTTGATTTAGTTTGTTTTGTTTTTTCCCTTTTCTATTTCACGTTCTTCTATTGAACTGTAAGGAACCCTTTGGAACTAGTTCAAAATCTAAATGAACAGTTGGTATATTATTCATTTGTCGGTGCCTAGCAATTCGTTTGAAAGGTCTTTTTTCAGCAAATAATTCCATCCAAGTCATTTGCCTTGTTCCCTCCAAAGCCCTGAAGGACATTTCTATAGTTCCAATGGTAACTTGATTGCTTTTGCAAATTAACTTCAAATAATTATCGTTTTCCCTCGTATTAAACTTAAAGGAACCTTTTGAAACTAGTTCCATTATTTCCCTTAAGAGCTGCCCACTATCCAATCTGCTGATAAAGGAGGACTAACATGAACGACGTTGTCCGTGGAGAAGCTTCTGAATCGGAGGATGAAAATGCAGGACCAAACTTGAAAAAGGTATATGTTTTCTGAAAGTCTTTAGGGATAACAAAATAATTTATATCAATTGTTTCATAGAATATATTGGCTGCAGAACTTCCTGGAGAGGCCACAGAGACATCATCAGACGAAGGTATGTGCAATGTATTTGTTTCTTCGAATTTCAATTTACACTTTGTGTATTGCAGATGTTTATGATAAAAGTTTAGATGGGAACACTGAAAGCCGCAGCAATTTAGAGTCCATTTATTCAAACAATTTACTTCAAAGAAAGCTAAGTACGTTTTAAAGTCTAAATTAAAAGATTTTGCGTGGGGTCGTGAGGAACAGGCCCAACAAATATTCCTCTTAAAAATCTAGTTCTAAGAAGCAAAAAGTCTCAAGCATTTAATCTGAGCCATGCCATTTAACTAAATTCCTTTAATTCCAGTTGACAACAACTTAAATATATGGCGAAGCCTCAACGCATTTGTAAAAAATCTTGTTACACCTGCATCCAAACAGTTGCTGTCAACCGATCAGCTATTGATTAAATCGCAACTTTCAATGCAATCGGTTTTGGTGACGCTTAATCAGACGCAAAGTAATGTAAAAAAGCTCTATGAAAAAAGTGATGCTGTTTTTACAACAAATTTCATACCAACAATCAATATACCACCCGACAACAATTGAAGAGGCCCTGAATTGTATAAAAACTTCCGTTTTTTTTTCTTTAAATAAAACACACTTTTATATGTATTTAATAACATATCTTTCAGTCTTCAGTATCAGAATTTGGAACAAATACCTGACTACTGGGGGAAGGTTCTTTGGGTACATAGGTAGATTCGAAGCATCTAGTAAATATTGAACGTAATTTGGGTACATGTTCCCGTTGCGGTGATTGGGGTATAGTATCGGCATCATCATCATCATCGGAGTTTTGGTCATTTTTATTTGTCTCAGTACTGGCAAATGTTACAAAGACTTCACTTTCTCTCACCGCTGGCAGGCTGCTGGTGTGCAATGCATTGTCCTCTGCCACAGCTGCAGCTAATATTAGGTCATCCTCATCATCTTCCATATCAAGATCTTCTTGTGTTAAATTCCTGGCCACATCCACCGACTGAAGGGTGTCGTTATTATTATCCGTGTTAAACCGAAATAACGTTGAGTTATTACTAAGTGTAGTCTCTTCAGATAATCTTTTTTTGTTTATACGGTCTTTGTCTATTACTTTGGGGTTACTATGTTTACGTTTCTGGCCAGAGGTTGCAAAACTACGATGCGTACTAGCTTCTTTCACCTCTGATTCCCGGCACTCCTCGTACATGCTGACATCGTCCGTGTAAACTGTTGTCATGACCAGGGTACATTCGATCAAATCCAGTTTGCAAATTTTTATAAATATGGGACCGCCGGCCTCATTGAAATTTAAGGTAATCGATTCGCCAATACTCTCGGCAAACAGAAGAAATGATCTGAACTCTTTTAAACTGAATGTCACGGCCGATTCTTCGTGGATGTTGTATGATTCGAATTCCGTTGGACTAAGTTTCAGTTGTGAACGCATAAACTTGTCATTGACCCGGGCGCCTTCAATGTAATTTTTGGCCGTTAACCCATTGCCCATTGCTTCCAGTGTCATTTCCACCTCGGCAGCATTGAAGTTATTTGAAATGTCATTAAATAGTTTATACGAACCAACAATTCTAAAAATAAATATATGCTAAAAACATTTCCAAAATTCTAACATATTCCCAAACAAACTTACACGTTCGATGTATCCTCCATCGAAACAGCCGCTGTAACATTTTCCTCATCAACTATGGAAATTAAAACATTCTTAATGGTTTCCAAACGACATTTGAACTGAACCTGCAGTTTAGACTGTTCGATGAGTAACCTTATTTCACAACGTTCCACCTGTTTCATATTCTTGAAAACAGCCAATATAGCTTTCATTGTTATCTTGCAGTAGCTACCCTCCTCCGCATTGAAATGTTCAAAGAACACACGTTTGAATCGAAATGTACCCATAGCCGATTTGGACACATTAAAGGTACGCAGCTGTAAGCCATCTTGATCGGCTTCCAAATATAAATCGGATCCAAATTTGGCCAAAGATTGTATTGCCTTTGCAATGACTGTAATTTTGTTTAATTATTTTAGCAAATTTTGTAGATAAATCACGAAATTACCTCGGGCATTTCCACCATCCAACGAACACTTCATGTCGGCGAAAAAAAATGTAAACATAGAGTTCACGATGAAGGTTCAACTAAAAGATTCACTGAAAATGAACGACAGAGCCAGTTCTGCTAATGGCGTTCCTTGCCAGTTGCGAAAAATATTTTTAGCTTGTGGCAGGGGGAGAAGTGTAACCTTTCACATGAACAATTTCCATTAATGATTTGCTTCATTAATGATTGTGCTTTTCACAGACATCAAAAGATTGAAATTAAAACTTAAGAATATATAATTAGAAAGTGTTGTTCACCAATAACCGAGTAGTTCAATTCAATGATTCACTAAAAACGAGCAGCAATACTAGTTCAGTAATTAAAAGAGAATGACAAGATAAAGGGCGGGAAATGGATGAAGGCATCATCTTTTTTGGAATTTGGATGATTTAACTAAAATAGTGCACGAAAGGATAATTATGCATTATGGTTTACACAAATTTTGACAAACAAGCACCGAATCACGATAAAAATATCAGAGTCACGCATTAGGAGGATGTCCCTTATTGCACATTTTACATAAAAAATGTTTCAAATACTTTTGAGCTATACCGATGAGAGTTTTTGGAAAAACTTTTGGAACGTCGTCTGTCTTGGGAGGCCCCCATCTTCTTTACAAATCCCTGCTGGATCATGGCAAATAACTTTAAATTTAGTTGTCCGTTATCATAGTAGAATAGCAGAGCTGCATGCATTTTGTCATGTAAAATATTCTGACGTATTTGCAAATTAAAATACAACTCTGGTTTGCCAATAATCAACTTTTCTTTTCTTTCAGAGACGTGGTGTTTATTCCGGCAATTCTATTGTGTTGTTTTTCGGAATCAGTTCAAAGGAATTGTTTCACATCCTAGGCTGAGGTGGTGTTAAGTAATTATTTCATAAATATAACTAAATAATATATATATTTATAGTCATCGATAATTATGTGTTAAAGAACAGCAGCAAGCCGCATAGCATAGAGTATTATTGAGTTAGCAATGATGTGGCTTAACAACAAAATGGGCAAGGCTCTAATATATTACCTTGCTAGCTGTTATTTGCTGGTGCTGGCTCACAGTGGAAACGCGGAAACTGCAAAAAGCAAAAGTTATCCCATTACCACGTTGATTAATGCCAAATGGGAACAAACACCATTACACTTGGAAATCGCCGAATATTTGGCCGATGAAAATCCAAATTTATTCTGGGACTTTGTAAAGGATGCAGCCGATTTGGATACACCGTTAACAAGTTATGGTGAGATTTCAGCAGACAAATCGATATGAATAGTTAATTTAATATAGTCCTATTGCAGATACGGAATCTCAAAGTTATAATGCTGTCCTAAAACTGGTACGCAAGGGTCTCACCGAAATTCAACTGCCATTAATGAAACTAGTAGTGTCCATGCATAGTTTAACGCCTCGCATTCAAACTCATTTTCAAATTGCTTCAGATGCTTTGGCCAAAGGATCATGTCCAGAAACCACTACTTTTGTCCAGTTGGATAGGGAGTTGATTTGCAGTTTTGATGAACTACGGCAAAAATTAAGTACAGCAAATGAGAAGCCACCTGTGGTGTCGGTAGAGACTTATGCCTTTGATCACATTTTCCCTGGTTCAGAAAATAATACCCGCACTGTGGTCTTATATGGTGACTTGGGCTCCTCAGCATTTGCCCAATACCATTATCTTTTGTCAGCAAAGGCTTTGTCGGGAAATGTGCGCTATTTAACGCGCCACTATTTGCCTGAAAAGCAAAGAGATGCCCGCAAACGTGTACGCCTCTCCGGATATGGTGTAGAATTGCATTTGAAATCCACGGAATATAAATCTCAAGATGATGCCCCGAAACCAGCCGATGGCAGTGCTGAGGATGCATCAAGTACGACAGGTGAAATGGAAGTCCAGGGCTTCGATTTTAGTGTCTTGAAGGAACGTTTCCCTACCATGGCCCATTCGTTGGACAAATTGCGCCAAAGTTTGTTACAGGGCAACGATGAGATTGCCCAACTCAAGGCATGGGAATTCCAAGATTTGGGCTTACAAGCTGCCCAGGCCATTGCCGAGATTGATGGAGAGGAGGCATTGAAAATTTTACAATTCACTGCCCATAACTTCCCTATGCAGGCCAGAGCTTTGCTTAGCCACAAAGTCAGCCAACAACTGAGGGACGAAGTTAAACACAATACCGAAATCTTTAGCCGCAGTTTGAATATAGTTCCGCCCGATGGAGCCTTGTTTATTAATGGTTTGTTCTTTGATGCTGATAGCATGGATTTGAATTCGCTGATTGAAACTTTGCGAACGGAGGTAAGGGTATTGGAAAATCTCCATAATAGTCAGGTGAGGGGTCGATTGGCCTCGACACTTTTGGCTTTGGATTTTAGTGGTTCGGGATCCAAGGAGTTTGCCATCGATATACGTGATACGGCAATTTCGTGGATTAACGACATTGAAAAGGATATGCAATATCGCCGCTGGCCTTCAAGTGTAATGGACCTGTTGAGGCCCACATTCCCTGGTATGCTGAGGAATATACGTAAAAATGTTTTCAATTTGGTCTTGGTTGTGGATCCCCTACAACCATCCAGCCGCAATCTGATCAAATTGGCGGAAAGTTTTGTTTTGCACTTGGCCCCAGTTCGTCTGGGTCTGGTGTTTGATGCCCGCAAAGCGAATGATGGCAGTCAGGAGGATTATTTGGCCCTTACTTGTGCTTTTAACTATTTGGTACAAAAGAAAGATGCCCGTTCTGCGTTGAGTTTTCTTACCGACATCTTTGCCAATGTCGATGCCAAGCAATCGGTCAAACGTAAACACATTAAGTCGCAAATGAAGAAGACCTTTGAGAAGCTTTCGGGATCTAAAATTGATGCTATACTAGACGAAGATTCAGACTATGATTATGGCCGGCAATTGGCTTTGGAATTTGTTGAACGTTTGGGCTTTTCTGACTCACCCCAGGCTCTGCTGAATGGTGTGCCAATGCCAAGTAATATCCTATCCTCGGATAGTGATTTTGAGGAAGCCATATTTTCGGAAATCATACAACAGACCACAACCCTGCAGAAGGCTGTATATCGCGGAGACCTTACCGATTCTGAAGAGATCTTAGATTACCTTATGAATCAGCCGCATGTTATGCCCAGATTGAATCAACGCATTTTGGGAAATAATGAAAATGCCAAATTCCTTGATCTCACCGGAACACCACACAATGATTTGAGTAATGTCAAGGCCTTGGCGTTGCTTTCAAATCGTGACATGACCGCCACACTGCTAAAGAACATTAAATATTTTGAGGGTAAACATTCGTATGAGACAATAGGGGATAGTAAATTGCATTTCCTTACCCTGTGGCTTTTTGGAGATTTGGAGAAAGCGAATGGCCGGGAACTTCTGAAGAATGCCTTGCAATATGTGCGAGCTGGCGCCAGTGTACGTGTAGCTTTCATACCCAATGTCGAGGGATCAGATGTGGCACGTAAAGATAATCTAAATCGTTTGGTCTGGGCCGCCCAGCAAACATTGAAACCCAAAGAAGCAACCGACACGGTACTGAAGTGGCTAAAACAATCGTCCGACAAATGGGAAATACCCAAGGCTGTGAGTGAATTTATTGCCTCGACAGAATTGCACATGAAAATCCTAAGAGTCTACAGCCAAAGGGTATTGAATTTAAAGACCTCCGAACGTTTGGTCATTGGTAATGGTAAAATTATTGGTCCCATATTGGATACGGAACTGTTTGGCATTGAAGATTTTGGTTTAATTGATCGTTTCAATGCCATACAGTACGGTGACAAGTTGAGAAAATCATTGACAAGTAATTCCCATGAATTGGAGGAGGATTTCAATAGTGATACGCTTTTAAAGCTGTACGCTTCGCTCTTGCCACGACAGTCGAAAACCAGATTTAAATTACCCGAAGATGCCAAACATGCCCATTCCGTTGTGAAACTCAAACCGAACCGTGACGACTTGCCTAGTTTTGAAATCAATGCCATTGTGGATCCAGCATCAAGAAGTGCCCAAAAGTTGGCTCCCATTTTGATACTGCTACGCAATACCATCAACTGCAATATGCAGGTGTTTTTGACACCTGTCACCCAGCACAGTGATATGCCGGTGAAAAATTTCTATCGCTATGTTGTGGAGCCTGAGGTACAATTTCTACCCAGTGGAGAGATGGCTGAAGGACCATTTGCCAAATTCACCGGGGTGCCAGCGAATTCCTTGCTTACGCAAAATCTACAAGTTCCTGAAAATTGGTTGGTTGAGGTCGTACGATCCGTCTATGATTTGGACAACATCAAGTTAAGTGATATAAATGGTCCAGTCCACAGTGAATTTGAATTGGAATATCTTTTGCTGGAGGGTCATTGCTTTGATAGCAGTACCGGTGCCCCGCCTAGGGGCCTCCAAGTTACATTGGGCACACGGGAAAATCCTGTTCTGGTGGATACAATTGTCATGGCCAATTTGGGTTATTTCCAATTGAAAGCCAATCCCGGCGTTTGGACATTGAAATTGCGTGAGGGCAAATCGGCCGATATATATGACATAACCTATGCCGAAGGACCAAATACGGTGCATAAAAATGAGAACACTCAAGTTGTGATAAGCTCCCTCAAATCGCATGTCATCAAAATGAGGGTCACCAAAAAACCGGGCATGTCTCAAATGGATCTCTTGGAGGATGATAATTCACAACAACAATCGGGAATATGGAATTCCATTGCCAGTTCATTTGGCGGAGGTGGTGGCGGTTCGGCTGGCGATGAGGATTCGGAGACCATAAATATTTTCTCTGTGGCCTCGGGCCATTTGTATGAACGCCTGCTTCGCATCATGATGGTCTCGGCCATGAAACACACCAAATCACCGGTGAAGTTTTGGTTTTTGAAAAACTACCTTTCGCCACAATTCATTGATTTTCTACCGCACATGGCCAAGGAATATAATTTCCAATACGAATTGGTGCAATACAAATGGCCGCGATGGTTACATCAGCAAACGGAAAAGCAGCGCACCATATGGGGCTATAAAATCCTGTTCCTTGATGTTCTCTTCCCTCTGAGTGTGAGGAAAATCATATTTGTGGATGCCGATGCCATTGTAAGGGCAGATTTGAGGGAACTTTACGACATGGATTTGGGTGGTGCACCCTATGCCTATACGCCGTTCTGTGATTCGCGCAAAGAAATGGAAGGATTCCGTTTCTGGAAGCAAGGCTATTGGAAATCCCATTTAATGGGCCGGCGTTATCACATTTCAGCCTTGTATGTTGTCGATCTGAAGAGATTCCGTAAAATAGCAGCCGGCGACCGGCTGAGAGGCCAATATCAGGCGTTAAGTCAGGATCCCAACAGTTTGAGTAATTTAGATCAAGACTTGCCCAACAATATGATCCATCAGGTGGCCATTAAATCATTGCCGGATGAATGGCTATGGTGTCAGACATGGTGTAGTGATAGCTCTTTCAAAAATGCCAAGGTCATTGATCTCTGCAACAATCCCATGACCAAGGAGGCCAAATTGACAGCGGCCCAGAGGATTGTGCCCGAATGGAAGGATTATGATTCGGAAGTCAAGCAGCTGATGGCACGCATAGAGGATCATGAAAATGTGGAACATGATGAGCTTCAAACCACCTTGCCGTCCTCCAAAGAGACAACACCAACACCAGCAGCAGCCGCAGCAGATGGCGCCAAACACAGTGAACTGTGATTTTCTACAGATATCATAAATAATATTAAATTAAACAATTGTAATATCTCCAAAAAAAAAGTCCTGTTTAAGTTTTTTTCCAACACCACATTTTCTGAATAAAAGCTCGAAGGTAATTAAAATAACCCATAGTTAAACATGGGATTCAATAAAGAAAAGACATTCCTAAAATGAAAACTTGATCTAGAAACAATTTTAATTAAAAAAATAAAAATACAACAGTCGGTTTGAGACGATATAAAAATAAAAATTACAACATAAACAAATTCGACACATAATAATTACTGATTATCAATTCTTTAAGGCAATGACCTGGTCTGTTACGCGAGTTATCAGGGGATCCAATTCGTTGCGAGGCAAAGATTTACCCCACAACTGGAACAAAGTGTCTTCCGTAAGGGTGTCCACATTGGCTAAGGAGACAAGATGAACAGAAAACATTAGAATGGCTGCGAATTTAAATCGAAAAGACATAGAAATACCCACCATTTCCTTCCTTATTTTCCGGAATAATTAAAGTTAAAAATATCACCAAATCTTTTGCTATGGGACTATGGGTATCACATATTGTATGGAAGGCTCTGGCAGCTTCGGGTGGTATCTAGGTGACAAAACAATTTTAAGTTAAATCTTTTGGGTACTTTTCACCCTCCTTACCTCATTTAAATTGGCAATGAGTATAACATTGCCTTTGGCGATTTTCTTACGGAACTTTTCAATGGCTCGGCCATAGTCTTCCTTTGCCTCGGCAGATGTAAAATCTTCATGGACCATTTCAATGGGCTGTTTTTTATCATCTGAAAATGAAGAACGTTGTTCCATCAAAATATGTGGTGGGAATTTCATAAACGTTTTACCAAAACAACTGGACGTGTGCAGGGCAATTTCCTTTACCAGCTTATCAATACGACTGCCACCATGATGCACAAACAAATATACGGCAGGATCTTCGACACGCTTATTTAAAATCATTTCGATTCCAACTCTTAGAATATTCCATACCTTATGGTCTTGGTGGGGATATGATTTCGCCAGTGGAACATATGAACAATTCTTCATTGGAGCCGGCACAGTTTTCATACGATAATCAATGAAAAAGGCCAAAGCACCGGCAAATACCACCAATAGAATGGCAATCATAAACATTGAAAACAGAGAACTGTTTGTTTTCGGGTCAACAAGAGATTCACTTCTTGAACTGCTGGAAATGCTACTGGAAAAGGATTTATTTCGAAAACTCCTTGCCGCCGCCGGAGTTGTTGAACGATATTTCGGTTGTTTAGGTCTTGGTGGTGTCCTTGGACAACTGCGTGATATTTCAAATGGATCCCGACTAAGGGACCGGTGTCTACTTTCACCATTTTCATAGTCATAGTCAGATCCAGCTGTGTCCGTATAGATTTCATAATTTCCCGTAACATCTTGATCGAGTTCAAATTGTGAATTTTGAGATTCTTCGTCATTCTGTGATTCGGGTGAAACATCAACAAGTTCTACTTCATCGAGGGGGGTTGTTTTTCCAGCTTTATGAATTGGTTTACGGGGTAGGGGTTTAACATTAAGTGGATTGGACATGATTGAAACAAAAATATTAAATTAAAATATTGTAAAATATAAAAAATATAACAAATGCCGCCGCCGCAATGCGTTAATGATGGGATTTTTTTTTTTTTTGGACTCGATAGTTGATTTCTTCGTCAAGAAGTAGTTGGTACCCGATACCCGAAGTATTCATGTACCAGTAAAATATTGTAAAAACCAAAATGAAAGACGTCCCCATCGGAACAAATAAGAAATCAAAAAGAAATGCCCGATAAAAAAGAACGAGAAAGCAAAATCCCCGAGGGACCTCTGTTGTTTACGAATGAGACATGAGGAAATCGAACCGCTGGCCACATTCATTAAATGAACCTGGGGAGTAAGTTCCTTCAACTCGAGGCCGGCTTTAGGTAGTCATTTTGACGCCGTTAACCCGATAATCGAATCCGATTAAATCTTAGTTGGGCAGAACCGGCTGTATGATACCATTGCCGCCGCCGCAGTGCGTTAAACGATGGGAATTACAAAAACAAAAATCTAGATATCAAAGCTTCTTAAACCAGAAGCCATCGCCGTCGAAATAAGATACAAGTGATAAAGCCCAAAATGACAAAAATAGGATTCCTAAGATCGAGTAAATTCCATATCAAGTAGCATCTTCAGTGAGAGCGTTTGTCAGATGGCAGGCTTTTTTTCCCCATGCTGTGGGAATATCGAAATTCTTCCAATACAAAGCTTCTTATTGAGATATATAAAGGAGAACAACGAAACCAAGAAAAATAAGGTTTAGAATTATTAGCGTCTAAACAAAAATAGAGACATAGGATTTGAAATTTTTGACTGAGAAAACGTTTTATAATTTTTTTGTGTCTGTAGTATTTTGGAAAGCAAAGGTACTAATTCGAACAAATCTAAACTTTTTCTAAAATTTGTTTCTTAGATGTTGGGAGAGGAGGAAAAAAAACTATTGTATATGTAGTGATCATATTAGGTCTGTTTGGACAATTTATTTTGTTTTTGTTTAATTTATTTTGTTTTCAAAATATATGATTGTGCCTTGAAATTCAAAGGAAGTCAATCACAATAGTAGTAGTTTGATATCGAACGAAATAATTAAATTTCAGCCATGTTAGAAGAATACTGGTAGACGCATCGACACAGCTGCTGGAACAATTATCTGTCAAACCGATTTTAGAATTAAAAATGTTGAATGAAAAATTATTGAAATTTGTACAATATTGTTGAAAAAATGTATATCATAACAACTTCCGATTTGCGTCGTATAGGACAACATATACAAAACTACATATTTTTGACAAAGCATTTTCAAAAATTTTGACATACAAATGTTCCCAAGCGTTGATGCTTCTTTCCCATGGTTCAAGCATAATTTCTCACATGAAACCCCCATTAATAAACTCCACACAGCACTCCGCCAAGATTTTAAAATATATTGTAATTTGAATTAATCGCATAAACACTTATTTCCCATCCCTACATTAACTGTTATCTACTTTCTGGATGTCATATACCCTTGAATAGGCTCAAAATAGAGCGAATTCATAAAAACACCAATTGTTAAATTTTTAGTTTGTTTTTATTTTCATTAGTACTTGATTTTGATTTGCATTTTTCAGCATTTTCAATTTTTTTAGAGAATATTTCAAGACACCCTTCTTTGCCAGTTGGATATCTGTAAAGAAAAAAATACGGTTTTCTTTTTAAAATATTTTCAATATTTAAAAACAGAAAATTATGTTGAATTCTTTTTTTTTTCAGTTAGAAAGTTGGTTACACGGTGTTTTTGTTCAAATGAACTATACTAATAATAAAACATCATGGAAAGGACAGACAATTTTCAGTTGTAAGAAATAGAAACTAACCTTTTGAATGCAAAATAGGAAATTCAACGCGCTTTGTAATTCATCCACAGTGCATTATCTGTAAAAACAAAGAAATAAAATGCTTTAATTTTCTTCTTTTAAAAAAATTAACAAAAAAAAAAAAAAAAAAAATATTGTAATATAGGTATGTCAGAATCCTTTTGGTTTAATTTGAATGTGTGATCGTCATGGAATTCATTCAGATTAAAGTTATCATCACATACATTTTCATATTACAATTTACATATGACTATATTTGTTTAGTTACCTTTTGCTTTGGGTACAGCGGTAGTTTCCCTCAATTATGTGGTTAAGACCCAAAATGGGAACATAGCGTCAAATTACCATGTGATCCTTCTTCCCGTGACTTTTACAATCTAAAAACAAAAATACAATTTGTTTAGAAAAAATGCATTTTTACAAGCAATAATTATATAAAAAATTGCATGTCAGAATCCTTTTGGTTTAATTTGAATGTGTAATCAGCATAGATTTTGTTCAGATTAAGGTTATCATCACATGCAATATCTTTTTTTAGTAGCAATACAATTTTTAAACTTTTACTTTAAACAAAAAGAAAAAGTAAATGTTGTGGGAAATGGTTATATAGATTTAATATACATACCATTTTATGCACCGTTTCCATTAGTGATTCACTTGGCCAAATTCAGAACAAAAGGACGGACTTAACGTTGACCTAAAATACAAAAGAAACCAGATTAAGATAATGCCAACGAAATATTTCTAATGTTCCTTTACGATTTGGATTCAGTTATAAATGTTTACAGCATGATTTTTTTATAATGGGTTCGACTCAGTAGAGGGACCCTGAGATGGGTAAAATCATCACCATAAAAATATACAACAGAAACCCCAGCCATTTCATTAAATACCAACCTTGGACAAGAATTTCCATTTTTAAAAGGTATTTCATATTCTGCAATAATCAACAGTCTACGCCTGAAACAAACAAATAAATCATTATTTAACAGAAATCATATGAAAATTACAAATATAATCATGGAAAACTGCTATCAGTAAGAAATGTAACAGCATGGGTTTTTTTAATGGGTTCGACTCAGTAGAGGGACCCTGAGATGGGATAATATCATCATAGTAAAATGATAAATGTTCGATTTTCTTTTAAATACTAACCATTTCAAATATGAATGTGGCATACATTTCCATTGGTTCACGGGATGCAGCAATTGATGTGCAAGCATTCCTGAAAAAAAAGAGAAATAATTACATTAGCTTTTTTACAACACATTAAGAATCCTTTACAATTCTACGGCAATCTGTCAGATATGCCTTAAACATCACAAGTATTTCTTAAGAAACCTTGTTTCAGAAGAGGGATCCTGATGGCTTGATATTATCATCAAATACATATTTAATGCAATCATTTACAACACTCACCTTCTTTGTTATTAACATTTCTCGAAATAGCATCATAATTACGTTTGTTGAAAACCCCTAAAACACAAAAAAACAATCATTAATACACAATTGTTTAATAAACATCAATAATTTGGCCGACAGTAAATTAAAAACAATCAGTTGGCCGTTCTTATCTATCGTCAATTGGTTTTATAAAGCATACTTCAATACAAAATTAATGAAACATTAATATGCAGTTCAATTATACTTTATATATTCGGACATGGAACAATCATCAATATGCGTCGAGTGAGTATTAACATTTCTTAAGAATATCCTTACCTATTCGCGGTTTGTAAAAGATAATTTCCCCACGCGGATTTCAAAACAACCAAACGCTTTGAAAGACAAATGAAAAAGAACCCTTTGTGACGTAAATGTGGGGAATTATGGAAACGTGTGAAGTTGGCTGCAGTTGTACAAGTATACTCAATTGACGCCAGAGTGCGCCATTTTGTAGTTGTGGTGTATCTTTATATACGGCGTACGTTGAGATGCTAGTCTTACGTTTACAAATTACAAGAATTAATGATACGTTTACGTTTAAGGATTTAGAATAGCCAGTCTGTTTAAATTTTCAATTCCATATATCAAATAAATCTATATAATGAAGGACAACCCAGAAAAAACTCTAACGTAAATATGACTTTATTTACATATAATGTTAACGAAAAATGTATAAACGAAAAGTATAATTTTTATATTTTAAACTATAAATTGCACTGTTTCATGATAGCAAAATACAGGTAGATGCATGACCCAATTCGAAAGGTTTATCAACTTCAAGAAACGAGGAAAAATTCAACTCTGTGCCTGAGTCTTATAGTGTCGAATAGACTTTTAAATATGCAACAATTGGTTATGTTTATTTTACATTTTTTAGCAAAATACTTATATTGGGGGGAAACCACTAAACATGAATGGTATGTTAGGTTTATTCCCCAAAATTAAATTTGAGATAGTAGGACAATTCTGTTTTGGCCAAAATTGTACAATTTATTGCCCATTAACATCGAAAATTTGCGTTTGAAATAGTTTCTAATTATTTTACTTTTTATTCAAAATTATGTATATGTTTTGACAGAATAGGGCACCAAAAGAAAAAAATTGTATTTAGGGGGTAGTGTAGTTCTACCTTCGGTAATTTTGCCATGGGTAGTTGTATCAGCATTTGTGATCATTTATTCGATAAGAATTTTACAATTTTGCGACATTTCACGCATAAAAATAAATGACAAATAAATAGTGTTTTACTTTATATCCTTTAAGCAGATGTATGCGTATGTAATCAAAGTTTCGAACTTAATGAGCGTTAATTTTTACAGTTTTCTTAAAACCTGTAAAAATGTGAAGTTTTTGCTATGATAACAGTTTTTCCCTTTCCCTGCAAAACTAGTAAATTCTTGCAGGTTCTAAAACAGAGCAAATTTTGGGTCTCTTCACTGGACTAAATTTTGTTGAATAGCTCATTACTTTTATGTTTTTCAGCAAAACCAAAATTCTTGCATGCTTTGAAAGAACAGAATGCAATACAAAAATATTTCCTTCTAAATAAAACTACTTTGTTTATGCCTTGTTTACAACTGTCTTGCGATTAACCCAATCACTAACACCAGATAACCTGCTATGTCGCCTACAAAGGGTTAACGTAAGTGCAATATCTACGCTGGTAACAACAGTTTTTAACGCCGTACTAATTTTCCACAACGGCTCTTAACTTTGGAATCGCGTCGTTTTGTCGTGTTTGTGTCGTGCATATTTTTTGCATTTTTAAGAGGAAAAAATTATTATAAAACGTTTAAAAATAAATAAAAAGAATTTGTGAAACTAGAGTGTATGAAAAAAGTTGTGTTACCATTGGAAATATATGAAAAAACAGCAGAAAATCGAGTAAATAAAAACCGACGACGAAGCCTTTGTGGCGGTGTATTGAATTTGTGTGTATGTGTGTGTGTGGACGACGACAACAACAACACAATTACATCAATTATTCTTTTTTCTTTCGTTCGGTTTGCCAGAGAATAGTGTAATTTGCAATATTTGTGGGCTAAGAAAGTAAAAAATTGCATTACAAAATGACTTCGCCATCCCCGGCGAATAGTCCAATGCCACCACCACAGGCACCAAGTCCAATGGGACCACCCTCACAAAGTCCGGCTCCCTCACCTTCGCCACACAGTCCGTATCCACACCCTGGTCAACAGGGTCCCGGTGGGCCACCTGGTCCTCCACAAGGACCCAATGGACCTCCTCAGGGACCACCTCATGGTCCACCGCAAGGACCGCCACATGGCCCACCACATATGCAGGGTCCACCTCCAGGACCGGGACAACATGGCCCACCACCACCGGGTCACCCAGGTGCACCATACGGCCACCCCATGCAACATGGTCCTCCACACGGACCACCACATGGAGCTCCCCAACATGGTCCAATGTCAACACAACAACATGGTGTTGTTACCCAACATGGTCCACCACCTCCAGGCCAACATGGACCTCCCGGAGGTCAAGGTGGTCCACCACAAGGCCCACCCATGAATCATGGACCCCACGGCGTGCCACCACATGGAGTGCCCCAACAACAGCCAGGTGGACAAGGTGCACCACCACATCTCAATGGTCCTCCGGGACAGGGACCACCTGGTCCACAGGGGCATCATATGCCACCTCATCATCAACCAATGGGTAAGCTTGAATATTGTTTTAAAGTCACAGAGAAATCTTTAATTTTTTTTTTAATTTATAGGCCCTCATATGGGTATGCAAATGCCTCCTCAAGGTCCCAATATGCCGCCAATGGGTTTTCAACATGGAATGCCACCTAATGTAAGCAACAATGTATATTTGATTTCTTTATTTATTTACAATATTATCGACAGAGCTACAGTTTATTTGAATTCATATTCAGTTATCTGATCGGCTTCTTCAATCAGCTGCTGAACATCTTTCAATAGTTCCTCCGTACAGGCACATATCAAGTCAGGTTTCATAATGTCGAAAATACCGCCTTTAGTGTGTTTTATTACACCTCCAGCTTCAGTTAAAATAACGGCTCCACCTGCAATGTCCCATGGTTGTAAATCTTCCACATGGAATGTCTGAAAACGTCCACAGGCTACATAGCACAAGGTCAAAGCAGCACAACCAATGCCACGGGTTCTATAAAAAGATTGGGTTTATTTAGATTAAAGTTATATTATCAAAAAAAGGATATTTAATTACCCTGTAGCATTTGAAGCCAGTTTGGCGAGACGTTTAACATTTTTATCTCTGACTCGTGCAGCATGAATCAGAGACACTTCAAGGGCTACAACAGCATTATTTATCTGAAAATAAAATTAGAGCCATTACCAAAACAACACACGGGACAGAATGAAATATATTTCAAGTTCAGCAATTACTTGAATGCAACTAAATTAACAATTATTTGATTTATGAAAATCTAGGTTCTTTAGCTCTGGGCTTTTTCTAAAGCTTCTAAAGAATTTCGATATAAAGATAAAGATGATGATGAAGTGTGAATATCCAAATAGCCCATTAATTTACTATATTTGCCTTTTTCTCTACAGAAAAACAAATAGGACATGACAATTGCCCATTGCTTTATAGATACCTTGTCCCAAAAAAACAAAAACCTAATCTTAAAGATTAGTTGGGAGTACTATCATAAAACATATGATGTTATCAAATGATAAGCATTGAAAATTAGTTTATTAACAAAAAAACTTACCGAAGTGACTTTGCTAACGTGAATGCGTTCACCATTCAAATAGGCTCCATGACCCTTCCAGGCCGAAAACATTTCATTTAAAATCGGATTATACACAATTCCAACCACCAACTCTTTTTTTACGGCCAAGCCCACCGAAATACAACAATGTGGAATTTTGTTAATGAAATTCGTTGTACCATCAATGGGATCGATTATCCATGTTGGATCATCTGTTAACTCCGACATACGTTTATTGGCCGCCGACTCCTCTTCACCAATTACTTTTGACTCGGGAAATTCATCTTGAAATCCTTTGATCAGAATATCTTCGATTTGTTTGTCGTACACAGTAACCAAATCGTAGAAGGCCGATTTGACCTCAAAGTTGGATTCGGTTTTGTTGAAACCTTCTCGCATTAGATGTCCACATTTCATGACCAGTTTCAAGGCAACATCGTAGTATCTTTTCAATTGCTCGTCTGTAATGGGAGGAGGAGTCATTGTGTGTGGAATGTTTGTTTTTCTATTTCTCTTTTTTATTTAGAATTTTGGTTGGAACAAAGTGTTTTCTGTTACGTCTTGTTCGCTTGAGTAATTTTAATAAACTAGCGTAAAATAAAGAGCAAAACAATGGGGTGAGAGAGAAATAGTAATGGAATACATATGTGTGAAACAGCGATAATAAATAGAGTTGCCATTGCTATGGAAGTTTAAAACGTGTATGGGAACAAAAAAAGTCACACACATATGTGGTTGGAGTTAGTCTTTGCGAAAAGAAATCTTCGCAGAAAAATTGCAAAAAATGTTCATAAAAAATCTTTTTCTATACAAAAGAATTTTCTATACGAAAATCTATGCGAAAAATCGCAAAAAATTTCCATACAAAAATCTGTGTCAAAAAATTGAAAAAAATTTCCATCAAAAATCTTTGGAGAAAAATTGCTAAAATGTTCTATACGAAAATCTTTGCCGAAAAATCGCAAAAATTTTCTATACGAAAATCTTTGCCGAAAAATCGCAAAAATTTTCTATACGAAAATCTTTGCCGAAAAATCGCACAAATTTTTTATACGAAAATCTTTGACGAAAAATCGCACAAATTTTCTATACGAAGATCTTTGTGAAAAAAAAAACCGCAACAATTTTCTATACGAAAATCTTTGCCGAAAAATCGCAAAAATTTTCTATACGAAAATCTTTGCTGAAAAATCGCAAAAATTTTGTATACGAAAATCTCTGCCGAAAAATCGCAAAAATTTTGTATACGAAAATCTTTGCCGAAAAATCGCAAAAAATTTGTATACGAAAATCTTTGCCGAAAAATCGCAAAAATTTTCTATACGAAAATCTTTGCCGAAAAATCGCAAAAATTTTCTATACGAAAATCTTTGCCGAAAAATCGCAAAAATTTTCTATACGAAAATCTTTGCCGAAAAATCGCAAAAATTTTCTATACGAAAATCTTTGCCGAAAAATCGCAAAAATTTTCTATACGAAAATCTTTGCCGAAAAATCGCAAAAATTTTCTATACGAAAATCTTTGCCGAAAAATCGCAAAAATTTTCTATACGAAAATCTTTGCCGAAAAATCGCAAAAATTTTCTATACGAAAACCTTTGTCGAAACACGCAAAAAATTTCCTTATGAAAATCTTTGCCGAAAAATCGCAAAAATTTTCTATACGAAAATCTTTACCGAAAAAATACAAAAAAAAAAAAAAAATCTATGCGAGAAACTTTGTAAAAATTCGAGAAAGGGAACCTTTCACTCTATAAGAAATGTTCAATGCGATTATCATAGTCCGTGACCACTTGTGATATCGACACGTTTGGAGGCTTTGTTATAGCTTTCCATTAAGATTTCACCTACCTTTAAGGCCAGTGGATAAATGAAGTCATACAATTCGTTTATGACTGTTTGACTGGACATGTCTTTTTTTGTAAAATTTTAAATAATTAACAAAAAATGAAATTGTTTCCTTTATCTTGCCTTCTTCTTGGCTGTCAGCAATGTTTTGCAAACACTGACAAGATTTTCATTCAAAAACTCAAGCTATTTTCACTTCAAATTCCAAACAAGTTTTTTTATTTTTGCTCCAACCGAAATTCAATGTTTTTCAGTCTTAACTCGAAACTCTGATATTTGTTTCATTTTGCAAGTAGGTATAACGGGGACATAACCAAAGCATACTATTTTTTACTTTGGCAACCCTGCATTCAAATACTCACCGCCACTCACTCTCTCTCTGTTTTCGTTTAAGTTTTGAGATATAATAGAGAGATTTTGTTTTGTATTTTTGTTTTTCTTTTATTTAAAAAAGCTTTCGATGTTCAATTAATTGATTTCCAATTCAAAAATGTAAAACAAATATTTACAAAAAACAAAATGCATTGTTGTTTACCCTCTTAGAATGACTTTAGAAATCAAGCATTTTTCTTTGCTGTGGAGATCAGTTCCTCTCCTGCATAACATTTATCTCTAATTAATGCAAACATAATAAAAATAAGTAACAAGCTATTTAATCATGAATATACATTTTTTTGAAATACATTTTTTTGAAAATTAACTTTTGAATAGAAAATATTTTAATTTTCCTTTCCACCTCCCACGGATTTTTTGGCGTCTGCCTTTCGTATTAGGCCCTCAATTTCAGAACGTAACTTTTCCCTACCGGCACATATCAAATCGGGCTTCATTATATCAAATTTTCCCCCATATGGATGGGTTACAACTCCTCCCGCCTCTTTGATTAACAAATAGCCGGCAGCACAATCCCATGGATACATATCCTCCACGTGATAGGCATCTAAATGACCTGCAGCAACCATACACAAAGAGTCAACCACACAGGAATATGAAAGTAATCTGAAATAAGAAGAAATAAATTTGCATTTGTTTAGACATCTTATCATAAGTGTTGTTTATAAATTTTAATAAATTGCCGAGTGCTATCTTAAATTAACAAACAATAAAGCAGCTGGCCCGCCGGCCTACATAATGGGAATTTTATGGCTAGCTTATATAGATTTGCTGCTGCTTGGCTTCGTTCTAAACCAAACGTGTAAAGACAATTACGTTGTGCCGCTTACCTTCTTGATTGGGCAGCTATATAATATATGCGCTTGATGTGTTTATCTCTTATATCGGCAGCATGTAACAAGGAAACTTCATAGCCAACATTGGCATCATTCACCTAAATTTTTTTTCAAAAGAGTAATTAATAATACCGAACAAATAATTTAAATATAGCATTTTCAGATTAAATGAAACCTTTTGCAATTCAAATGAAGCTTTTTGCAGCGGGAATGAAACCTTTTGCAGTGGAATTGAAACCCTTTGCAGTGGAAATGAAACCTTTTGCAGTGGAAATGAAACCTTTTGCAGCGGAAATGAAACCTTTTGCAACCGAAATGAAACCATTTCCAACCGAAATGAAACTTTTTGCAAATCAAATGAAACTTTTAAATTTATAGAAGGAAAAATAACAAAACATTTTTATTTTTAGTAGTTTTTAAATCAAATCAATTAATTATAACTAATAAATTGACAAAGAGGATTTTTTATTGATTATAAATATCTACATTTATTTATATTATTTCTTAAAATTTCAATTATAGTAATAACAAATGGTTCTTTATTGATTTGATATAAAATGCTTCCATATTATTAAATTCCAAATGCTTAACGCTAAAAAGAGAAATTTAAACAAATTTTGGCCTTTATAGGTATGGGCAGGACTGAAATGTGAAATTAAGCTTTACCACAATTTTTTATAGTTATAGTATACTATTAATCTTACCTAATAAAGGATTCCCGCTTCGCAGCTTTATTGATTATGGAGATAGAGCAGTCGTGATTTCCATAGACAGATAAGTGGAAATCATTAAATCAACTATGATCATGATTGTACATACTTTATGGGGTCTACGACGAATATTTAGAGGTGTTACAAACCGAATGACAAATTTAATATATCCTCTTTTAAATGGAGGAGATTATAAAAAGGTACCTAATTCGGGTCCTTTGAAAAAAATACCTTGAAAAACTTTTTTCAATCTTTCTGCATCCACACATGTGTTTTATGGAAGCTTTAAGAAAAAAAATTATAAAAACATAGTTATTAATAATCAATAAAAATTCCTCTTTAACTATATATTAGTTATAATTAGTTGATTTAATATTAAACATACTAAAAATAAAAATGTTTTGTTATTTTTCCTTCTAAAAATCTAAAAGTTTAATTTGATTTGCAAAAAGTTTCATTTCGGTTGCAAAAGGTTTCATTTCCGCTGCAAACGGTTTCATTCCCGCTGCAAAAGGTTTCATTTCCACTGCAAAAGGTTTCATTTCCACTGCAAACGGTTTCAATTCCACTGCAAAAGGTTTCATTCCCGCTGCAAAAAGTTTCGTTTGATTTGCAAAAGGTTTCATTTAATCTGAAAATGCTATATGTCTTCCTTACCCTTTCACAGTCACTAACATGTATGGCCTGGCCATTACAAAATGCCCCCTGATGTAATTTGGCAGTGTAGATTTTACCCTGAGCCGGTGTATTAACAATACCCAAAACAATCTCCTTGTTAATGGCCAAACCAATTGAAACACAGGTGTGCGGAATTTGTTTGATAAAATTCGAGGTACCATCAATGGGATCAATAATCCATGTTGGATCATTTGTCAACTCTTTGCAGACATTATCATTCTTGGCTGTATCCTCCTCGCCAATGAATTTGTGTTGGGGATACTTTTTCAGAATTTCACTCCACAGGAAATCCTCAATGCGATTATCATAGTCTGTGACCACATCATAGAAATCACTTTTAATATCGACACGTTTAGAGGCTTTGTTATAGCCTTCCATTAAGATTTCACCAGCCTTTAAGGCCAGTGGATAAATGAAGTCATACAATTCGTTTATGACGGCTTGACTTGCCATGTTTCTTTTTTGTTTTTTTTGTAAACTTTAAAATAATTAACAAAAAAATGCAATTGTTTCCCTTATCTTGCTCGTTTTTGCCTTCTTCTCTGCTGTCTTGATGCCAGCAATGTTTTACAAACACTGACAAGATTTTAATTCAAAAACTCAAGCTTTTTTCACTTCAAATTCATAACAAGTTTTTTTCCAACCGAAATTCATTGTTTTTTAGTCTTAACTCGAATCTCCGGTATTTGTTGTGTTGAATTTCTCTCTCTATGATTTTCATGGAGAGCAAGAATTAAGCAATGTACTTGTTTTTGTAACCAGGGTCGTAGCTAAAATTTCAATTTATCAACATTTAATTTCGAAATTGTCAAACCCAAACCCCAAATGGATGCGTATGACGCACCATGACTACGATTTTTTGGCTCTTATCTCAAAACGTTACATTTATGTGTGTTTCTCGAGTGCCGATGGCAAGTTTCGAAAATTAGGAATCTTTGGATTTTAAGAAACAACTGTTTGGAAACTGTTTGGAAAAGTTCAATTCCTCTTTAAAATGTTTTATATCCTCTGCTCAACATTTTTATTTAATTTTATTGATTGAAAGCAAAAAATAGCATCAAATTTTAGAATTAGCTTAGATCTTTTCGAATTCCTCAACTTTGGCACGAATTGTGCCCTTCAAACGGCCAATGAAACCGACACACGCTGCCCAAATATTGCTTTGCGGTATTTTCCCATTCCCGGCGAAGCGCTTGCTTGAGTGGATCGACACTTTGTTATTTTTTAGTACCAACCTTGCTTTCCCTGCAAAATACTCCAGACACAATAGTCTGGTATTGGTATCCGGAGATTTTGGTGGCCATTGTGCCCTGGAAATAAAGCGAGGAACCTCATTTTGTAACCATTCTTGGGTGGCGCGTGCTGAGTGCGATGGTGCTGAGTCCTGATGTAATGTCCAAGGTAAGCGGCCAAAATGTTTGAGTGCCCAAGGCTCTAATACACCCTCCAAAATATTTTCGCCATAATATTCGGCATTTATTCTGATGCCACGGTCGGTTAATACGAGCGGAGAGCGACCATCGGCTGTTATGACGGCCCACACCATCACCATGGCAGGCGCTTGAGTTCTGATGGGCAACTGAAGAAGGTGCCCATTTTCAGCTGCCCCCTTTGGCAAGAAAAAATCCGATCATTTTGTTTGTTTACAAAATGCTGGACAACGAATGTTTTCTCATCGAAGATCGGAGAAAACCAAATTCGACAGTTCACCACTTTTCGGCCAAGCGAAGCAAGTTTTTAGCTGTTTCGAGTCTATTTTCTTTCTGTTGCGGTGTAAGTCCTTGCACTTTTTGGAATTTCAATTGCTTTACCCCGAGCTAATTTTTCAATATTTGCCGAATGGAATATTGCGATATGTTCAGCTCATGAGCCAATTTTCGGCCACTGCGACGCGGGTTTTGATCAATTCGCTTCTTTACTTTTCGAACTATTTCTGCTGATGTTGCTGTTTTCTTTCGTCCACCATCCAATTCCTCCCAAACTTGGCTCATTTCAACATTTCCGCCAACACAAAATCTGGTGTGAAGATGGGATACATCTGTGAAGGCCTTGTAGTACCTAAGCCACAAAGGATCAACCTTTTGAATAACCACAATGCTCACCCACGACAATAACTTTGCTGCCCTTCTTTCGACAATTTTCCTTGTCTTTCTCTCGTCTCATTTTCCTCCATTGCTTCATATCTAATTTCCTTTTTTCTCTTTCTTTTCTTCCCCTCATAGGGTCCCCCAACCGGCCCTCCGGGTCAGGGTCCACCTCCCGAACGTGCGGGACAAGAAAATCTTCATGCTCTACAGCGAGCCATCGACACGATGGAAGAAAAAGGCCTACAAGAAGATCCACGCTACAATCAACTCTTGGCCATTAGAGCCACATCCAAACACCAACATTTGACTAGCAATCAGATAAATATGTTGCGAACACAAATTACGGCCTATCGTCTGTTGGCGCGCAACAAACCGATATCATTGCAAATGCAACAGGCATTCCAGCAGGCGGCCCAGCAGCAGGCAGCCGCTGTAGCTGCTGCCCAACAGCAGCAACAACAACAGCAGCAGCAGCAACAACAACAACAGCAGCAGCAACAGCAACCTCCAAATACAATACCAGGACATCCAGGGGTACCGGGTCCGGCCCCTTTGCCTCCCGTACCACCACAACAACAGCAACCCGGTCAGGCAGGTACACCACCCCAATGCTCTACACCACCGGCCTCACCATATGGCCAACCGCCACCAAATGCGGGCAAAATGCAACCGCCACCTCATGTCCAACAACAGCAGCAGCAGCAAATGCCACCTGGTATGGGCGGGGCACAGCCACAACCGCCAAATGTCCAAGATATGCATCAAATGCCCAATGGTGGTAAACCTCCAGTTGGTGGTCCTCCCTTAATGGGTGGTGGTGGCCAACCGCCCATATCATCACCCATGCCCGCAACAATGGCTGCCCAGGGCATACGACCCCCAGGACCCGGTGTTGTGGGTATGCCGCCTCAGGGTGTACCCAAACATGGTGCTCCACCACCGCAACAACCAATGCCCAAACCTAATCGCATTACCACGGTAGCCAAGCCACAGGGCTTAGATCCCATTGTCCTGCTACAGGAAAGGGAGAATCGCATTGCTTCTCGTATTGCCCTTCGGATGCAGGAACTGCAACGCCTGCCCGCCACAATGCCCGAAGATTTGCGGCTTCAGGCTGCCATTGAGTTGAGGGCCTTGCGGGTACTAAATTTCCAACGACAACTGCGCACCGAAATTGTCCAGTGCACCAGACGTGACACCACCCTCGAAACGGCCGTTAATATCAAGGCATATAAGCGCACCAAACGCCAAGGTCTACGCGAAGCCCGTGCCACCGAAAAATTGGAGAAACAACAAAAACTCGAGGCTGAACGTAAGCGGCGACAGAAGCACCAAGAATTCTTGGCCGCAGTTCTCCAACATGGCAAAGATTTTAAGGAGTATCATCGCAACAACAAGGCTCAACTGGCCAGAATAAACAAGGCCATCATGAATTATCATGCCAACGCTGAAAGGGAACAAAAGAAGGAACAGGAACGTATCGAAAAGGAACGTATGCGTCGCCTTATGGCCGAGGATGAGGAGGGTTATCGTAAACTTATCGATCAAAAGAAAGACAAACGTTTGGCCTTCCTACTCTCCCAGACCGATGAGTATATCTGCAATCTGACCCAGATGGTGAAGCAGCACAAAGACGATCAAATGCGCAAAAAGGAGGAGGAACATAAACGCCTACTGCAGTACAAGAAAGAGCTGTTGATGAGCGGTGAATACATGTCCATTGATGATACCTGTATTGCGGCGGATCTCCATGTTACCGTGGTGGAAACTGCCACGGGCAAGAAGCTGACCGGAGAAGAAGGACCTTTGCTAAAGAATTTGGCCAGATGGTTGGAACAAAATCCCGGTTGGGACTGGGCCGAAGATGACGAGGAAGTCAAGGAAGAAGAGAAATCCAAGGAAGAAGCCAATGCCAAGGAGCAAACCAATGCTGATGGTTCGAAGAAGACCGGTCCAGAAACTGAAGATGATAATCGCAGCGAAGAAGAGGTCAAGGCTTTGATACAAAAGGTCAAGGTAGAAGATGACGAATATCGTACGGAGGAGCAAACCTACTACAGTATTGCCCATACCATCCATGAAAAGGTCACCGAACAGGCCAGCATCTTGGTCAATGGCAAATTGAAGGAGTATCAAATCAAGGGTTTGGAATGGTTGGTTTCGTTGTACAACAACAACTTGAATGGTATTCTGGCCGATGAAATGGGTCTGGGCAAGACCATTCAGACCATTTCGTTGGTCACATATCTCATGGACCGTAAAAAGGTAATGGGTCCATATTTGATTATTGTACCCCTGTCCACCTTGCCCAATTGGGTGTTGGAATTCGAGAAATGGGCTCCCTCGGTGGGTGTGGTAAGCTACAAGGGATCACCGCATGGTCGTCGCCTCTTGCAAAATCAAATGAGGGCCACCAAGTTTAATGTCCTGCTCACCACCTATGAGTACGTCATCAAAGATAAGGCCGTCCTGGCCAAGATCCAATGGAAGTACATGATCATTGATGAGGGTCATCGCATGAAAAATCACCACTGCAAACTGACCCAGGTGTTGAATACCCACTACATAGCCCCCTACCGTTTGTTGTTGACCGGTACACCACTGCAGAATAAATTGCCCGAGTTGTGGGCTCTTTTGAATTTCTTGCTACCTTCGATTTTCAAGTCTTGTTCCACCTTTGAGCAATGGTTCAATGCTCCATTTGCCACGACGGGCGAAAAGGTGGAGCTGAATGAGGAAGAAACTATTTTGATTATTCGCCGTTTGCACAAAGTGCTGCGTCCTTTCCTGCTGAGACGTCTCAAGAAGGAGGTCGAACATCAATTGCCCGACAAGGTGGAATACATTATCAAGTGTGACATGTCTGGCCTACAGAGGGTGCTCTATAAACATATGCAAAGTAAGGGTGTCTTGTTGACGGATGGCTCGGAGAAGGGTAAACAGGGTAAGGGTGGTGCCAAGGCCCTTATGAACACCATTGTCCAGCTGCGTAAGCTTTGCAACCATCCCTTCATGTTCCAACACATTGAGGAGAAATTCTGTGATCACACTGGAGTCCATGGCATGGTTTCCGGTCCGGATTTATATCGTGTTTCGGGTAAATTTGAGTTATTGGATCGTATTCTGCCCAAGTTAAAGGCCACAGGACATCGTGTCTTGCTCTTCTGTCAAATGACCCAGTGCATGACCATTATCGAGGATTATCTCAGCTGGCGGCAATTTGGCTATCTTCGGTTGGATGGTACCACCAAGGCCGAAGATCGTGGAGAGCTGTTGCGTAAATTCAATGCCAAGGATTCGGATTATTTCGTCTTTCTGCTCTCCACTCGTGCCGGTGGTTTGGGTTTGAATTTGCAGACCGCCGATACTGTGGTGATATTCGATTCCGATTGGAATCCTCATCAAGATCTGCAGGCCCAGGATCGTGCCCATCGTATCGGTCAGCGTAATGAGGTGCGGGTGCTGCGTCTTATGACTGTGAATTCGGTGGAGGAACGTATTTTGGCGGCGGCCCGTTACAAATTGAATATGGACGAGAAGGTCATTCAGGCCGGTATGTTTGATCAGAAATCAACGGGAAGTGAACGTCAGCAGTTCCTGCAAACCATCCTCCATGCGGACGATGCCGATGAGGAGGAAGAAAACGAGGTGCCCGATGATGAGATGATCAATATGATGATTGGTCGTTCGGAAGAAGAAATAGAGCTGTTCAAGAAAATGGATGTGGAACGGAAGCAGGAAGATGAACGTTTGCATCCAGGCCGTGAGCGCTTGATCGATGAATCGGAATTGCCCGATTGGTTGACAAAAGATGATGATGAGGTGGAACGTTGGCATACCTATGATGAGGATACCATTTTGGGTAGGTTTTGAGGGGAGGGGATGAGGATATATGGTTATATTTAATGCGTTTTGTTTGTCTTACAGGTCGTGGCTCTCGCCAACGCAAGGAGGTGGACTACACCGATAGCTTGACCGAAAAGGAGCTGCTACGAGCCATAGATGATGGTGTGGAATTCGATGAGGAGGACGAAGAGGAGGAGGCCAAACGCAAGCGGCGTAAACGCAAAAATCGCAAAGATGATTCGGATGACGACTCGGTTGTTGGTCAAACCATTAAACGTCGGCGCCGCCAGAACATTGACAAGAAGATGAAGAAGCAAATGAACAAAATTATGTCGGCTGTCATTAAGTACACCCACGATGATGGCCGCATCTTGTCCGAACCGTTTATGAAATTACCCTCCCGGCAGCGATTGCCCGACTACTATGATATAATCAAACGGCCGGTGGATATTAAGAAAATCTTGCAACGCATTGAGGACTGCAAATATGCGGATTTGGATGATTTGCAAAAAGATTTTTCGCAATTGTGTCAAAATGCCCAAATCTATAATGAGGAGAATTCGTTGATCTACTTGGACTCCATAGAATTGGAAAAGGTATTCGTGAATGCCAGGCAGCGTATTTCAGCGGCTGCTGCTGCCCAGGCCTCGGCCTCAGCTGGGGAAAGTGGTGGAGGTGGCGGTGGTGCTGGTTCGGATAATTCCGAAAATGAGGAAGAGGAAACGCAGGATAATTCAGATGATGAGGAAATTGCCACCACATCGGCGGCGGCTGTTAAAATGAAACTGAAACTCAACAAATCGGTTACCAGTACACCCTCAACGCCAACACCATCATCGGCAGCGTCGGCAGCACCGGTCAGTGCTTCGACGAGCAAAAAACAAACCAGACGTAAAAGATCGCAAAAGAAGTACACCATATCCGATGATGATGACGATGATATGGATTAGCTACCACTGGGAGTGGTATTCTCGTTGCAACAGCAGCAGCAGCAAATGCAGTAAACGGGGGAAACTACGGTTTGGAATCATGGGAATTCTAAGGATTCCTATTCCCTTTCAATCTAGCCCTCCCTCTCTATTATTGGTTTAAGAGTCTCAGCATATAAAGAACCTTCTAAAGTATAAATAGGTATAATATTCTTAACTATTCCTTTCATAAATTTAAAAGCAAAAAATCAATTTGTACTCAATTTATTAGGATATTATTGCCCCCCAATCCCCTTCCCCGCTTTCCTATATCCACACATTTTTTTTGAAAAAGCTGCTTTTAAATCGTTTTACGAATGGATTTCAAAAAGGATTTACAATGTCAAGTTATTTTTAATATTTATCCTCCCCCATATTTTCTCTCTTTAATATTATTTTTTTATGTGTAATCACGAGTAAAACAAATATGCCCACGTATACTAAACCTAATTACGATTCAAAACATTTATACATTAATCCAGTTCAATCAGAATTTCAAACTCAAGTTAAATATTCAAAATTAAAGAAAATTATCCAATAAATAAATGTTTTTTTTTTAATTAAAATTATTTGGAGAATGTAATTATAACCTCAGCCATATGGCTAGAGAGGGTATATATCATTTGATATGGCCAAAACGTGCTTCGGTTTTAGATCCTAGGTCTCTTTGGACCAAACCCATTTCAGAACATTTGGAGTCGATCTAGCGATGTCCGCCCGTCCGTCTATCTGGCTGGTGCGCAAGATAGTATCCGATTTAATCCAAGCTTGGTACATCGTTCAAGTTCGGAGATGGGCAATATTGGTCTACTCCTTCTGGTACCTCTCCCACAAAAGGTCGAATTTTTCAAAAAATGTATTTTCTACACAGAAAGAGAAACGGTAATCCAATTTTGCTCCAACTTTGCAAATCCTAATATTTGCGTCAGTTCTAGGTCAGGTGCGGAAATGGACAATTTCAGTCCACTCTTTCTGGTACCTCCCCCACAAAAGGTCGATTTTTTCGAAAAATTTAATTTCTGCACAGAAAGAGAAACTATAATCCGATTTTACTCCAACTTTGCAAATCCTAATATTTGCAACAGTTCTAGGTCAGGTGCGAAAATAGACAATATCGGTCCACTCCATCAAGTACCTCCCCCACAAAGGATCAAAATTTTGAATAATTATAACTTTTATAAAATGTGATCGAAGAGTCCAATTGCCTTTAAATTACACACAGCACAATATTTTTATTAACCCAAGGTCTGGTGTGAAGATGGAATGTATCGGTTCACTCCTTATGGTACCTTCCCCACAAAATGTCGAATTTTTCAAAACAAATATTTTCTGCACAGAAAGAGAAACGATAATCCGATTTTGCTCCAGCTTTGCGAATCCCAATTTTTCCTTCAGTTCTAGGTTAGGTGCGTAAATGGACAATATCGGCCCACTCCATCAAGTACCTCCCCCACAAAGGGCCAAAATTTTTGAATAATCATAACTTTTATAAACAGAGATATAAGAGTTCGATTGCCTTTAAATTACATACAGATTTTGAATAATTAAAACTTTTATAAAATGTAATATAAGAGTCCGATTGCCTTTAAATTACACACAGCACAATATTTTGATTAACCCAAGGTCTGGTGTGAAGATGGAATATATCGGTTCACACTTTCTGGTACCTCCCCCACAAAAGGTCGAATTTTTCAAAAAAAAAATTCTGCACAGAAAGAGAAACCATAATCCGATTTTGCTCCAACTTTGCAAATCCTAATATTTGCAAAAGTTCTAGGTCAGGTGCGAAAATGGATAATATCGGTCCACTTCACCAAGTACCTCCCCCACAAAAGGTCAAATTTTTCAAAAAAAAAAAAAAATCTGCACAGAAGCTATAGTGCGATTTTGCTCCAACTTTGCAAATCCTAATATTTGTTCAAGTGCGAAAATGGACAATATCGGTCCACTCCATCAAGTACCTCCCCCACAAAGGGTCAAAATTTTGATTTTTCGTCATGCTCATAAAACACAAAATTAACATCCGATTCCATTCAGAATTGGCACATCTCAATATTTCTAGCAACACAACATATGTTTTAAAGATGGTAGAGATCGGACCATTCCTTCTGGTACCTCCTCCACAAAGGGTCAAAATGTGATGTAAGAATCCGATTGTCTTCAAATAACACACATCGCAATACTTTTATTAACCCAAGGTCTGGTGTAAAGGTGGAATATATCGGTCCACTCCCTCTGATACCTTCCCCACAAAAGGTCATTTGCAATATCCATTAAGCTCATAAAACACGAAATTTACATCCGATTCCATTCAGACTTGGTACATCTCAATATTTCTATCAACACAAGATCTGTTCTTAAGAAGGTAAAGATCGGACCATTCCTTCTGGTACCTCCCCCGTATAGAAAGCGAAATAAGCATCCAACTCTCTTCAAATTTCACACATCCAAATATTTTTGCTAGCGCAAAACCTGTTTTGAAGATGATATATACCTGTGAAACCCTTCTGGTACTTCACCCACAATGGGTCACAATTTCCAATACTTACAGAGTGAGATGAAAAACTCCAACCAACTTCAGACTGCTGTTGGGAATGGGCCAAAATACCGCAGAGCAACATTCGGCCAGCGTGTGACGGTTTCATTGGCCGCTTGAAGGCCATAATTCGTGCCAAAGGTGACCAATTCGAGCAAATCGAAACTTAAAATTTGATGCTATTTCCGACATTTTTGCTTTCATTCAATAAAATTAAAAATTTTGGCGTTTGACTTTGTTGCGTTTTGTCATCTCACCCTTTACATTCTGTAGATCCTTTTTGCTATCTATCAAAGCTAAATACACATAGGAAGTGGACTTTTTTGCTAGCCAGGAAGAACCAAATCACATTTTCTTAAAAAAAAAAGAGTTTTTTTATTCTTGTTCATCAGCAGACACATCGAAACACTTAAAAACATAAATTCGCAAACTATAAAACAAAAACCAAATACAAAAAATATTTTTGTACAACTATTAAGTCCACCATGTTTACATTCAGTCACAATTACAATAGCAGTATTTTGTAGGAGTTTAAAAACGTTCGAGACAATAACCATCATTTCATTAATTCCAATCACTTCGTTTCTTAACGTTCTGGCCAAAATTTCATAGCAATCACGGGTATACAAACACCCGTAACAATGCTCGATATTAAATTAACGCTGTGATTGTCGATAATTCGTAGACCACTTATGTGCCTAACATGGCCTCGCTCGTCGGGACTGTCGACAATTTTACCATCTTCGTCGATGCCTGAATATTGCAGTGTGGCACCGAGCAAAGAATCGATGAGTGAACCAAACAAGCCAGCAATGCCACCCCATAAAATGAGAGGCCACTGTGGTGGAGCCACCAAATGCATGTGAGCGGGGGCAGTAAAATGAACGGTTATGAGATAGGCTAAGCCCACAACCACACCAGCTAAGAAGCTAACAATTAGGCCAATAAAGGATACGCCACCATTTGTTCCACGCGGCACCTTCTTAAATGTGGTTATCAGATAGGGATCACTTTTGGACAAGACACTGCCAAGTTCACTTGCCCAGGTATCACCATTGCAACTGGCAAAAACAGCTGGAAAAAGAAATTTATAAAATTTAATTTATTTCAAAAAATCATCATTCATCCTACCCATTACAGCAATGCCCAGCCAGCTTGCCCGATAATCACGCACAAAATCAATTGTTCGCTCACTACTGCCCACATCAATTAAATACAAAATTGCCAATTGGGTGGCCATGCCGGAATTGCACAAAACTTGAACCCAGTTACGTTGGCCCTCTCCTGAAAATCACATTCAAAATCAAAACATTATTAGATTTCCAAATCACTACAACGTTTTCCACCTACCTTCCTTAAAATCCTTTTCAATTTTCCGCTTCATATGTGAACGGAATTTCGTGGCCCTCGATGAGGTGAAGAAAAATGCCGCCAAACTTGCAAAGAATGCATGATTCGATATGGATAATATAATGGCCACAATAATACCCAAAGCTGCCCCAGACTTGTTGACAGACTTTCTCTTTAGTGCCACAACCATTAGCATGAACGGTGCCAATATTGAAAATAACCACCTTGTAGGCGGTATTACAGGAGATTCTACAAGGGAAACGAGAAATGAACATACATAACGTTTAATGGTGTATAACTTTAAATACCTTTACGGATACCTTCAAATTCATTTGTCCACAGTTTGGAGAGAAAGGAATTGCCCAGCCACATGAATAGGGAAATGGGTATGGAAAGGCCACAAAATAAAACCGGTAGCCAGTCACGAATATTTAGGGCCATTTTTAAAATATAATATATACTACACCGGCAACAAAAGCCCTAATAACAAAACAAAATAAACGAAATAATTAAATTTCGTTGTCTACCGGAATATCAGCTTGAAGGACAGATGCCACGGCAATGTTGTGAAGAGCAAATCGAATGAGCGCGTGGGAAACCAAAATGAAAGACGTCCCCAACGGAACAAATAAGAAATCAAAAATAAATGCCCGATAAAAAAGAACGAGAAAGCAAAATCCCCGAGGGACCTCTGTTGTTTACGAATGAGACATGAGGAAATCGAACCGCTGGCCACATTCATTAAATGAACCGGGGGAGTAAGTTCCTTCAACTCGAGGCCGGCTTTAGGTAGTCATTTTGACGCCGTAACTACACAAATTTGCTTTGTGCTCCCGTTCAATATGCACCTTTGCGATATGGCAACTCTAAAGCGAAAGGCGGCATAGAAAGAAATCTGTATAAAGATGTAGAATCAAAACAAAAATACCGTTTGATAACGAATAAGTTAGAGTTCCTTAGGTTGACAGTCGACATTACGCATTTTGTTTGTTTTGTTAACATAAGAACTATTGCCGGGAAATATATAAAAAATGACAAAATTACTTAAACTTAATAGTTAAACAATTCAAATTTCTCTCAATGTTCAAAGAAAATGTCCTACCGCTTCTTACTTTACCCTGCAGACATATACACTCCAAAGGAATTGAAAACACCGAATTATGGCTAAAACAGATTAAATGATGGACTTCAGAAAACTTATAAAAATATGCTTATTTTTGAAAAAAAAAAAATTAAATATTCTTCTACCATGCAGCGGCAGTGTTATACATACATTTTCCAATTCAATTGTCAAAAACTTGACAACAAACATATTCGCCACAAAATTTTTCTGTCAAGGCGAAAATTTTTATTTTTGCCTCAAGCATGAATTTTGACATTTCATCTAATAAAATAACAGCTCATTTAAGGTTAATTCGCTCGTAGGAAAACCTTATAATTGGATTAAAAAATATATCGTGACTTCGGCCTAAAAATACAACACTGTGTTATATCTTTAAGCGATGGAGTTATAATTTTTTTTTCAGTTTCCAAGTAACGAATAACAAACATTTGTAATATTTGCATCACATCAGAACTATAGCTCCCTATCAATCAAGAGAAACAATTTGCAAGCATATCACACAGTGAGAACCCCTTTAGCTTTTCGCAACCACATGTCAAATCGTTTGCATGCAGACCGGCATTGTTTTCTCAGTCTCCAGGCAACAAATATAAACAATTTTTAATAATTTTCTAGAATAAAATAATAATAGCAAGAAGGAAAATTGACTTATTACCCATTACTCTTTGACACCGGACGAATTAACAATGGCAGATGGCGATAAGATTGAAGTACGTGACATCACAAGAATCGAACGTATTGGTGCCCATTCGCATATTCGAGGCTTGGGCTTAGATGATGTCTTGGAGGCACGAGCTGTTTCCCAGGGCATGGTTGGGCAAAAAGATGCCCGTCGTGCTGCTGGTGTGGTTGTGCAAATGGTGAGAGAAGGAAAAATTGCTGGTCGCTGTATTTTGTTGGCTGGAGAACCTAGCACTGGTAAGACAGCCATTGCCGTGGGTATGGCCCAGGCATTGGGAACAGAAACTCCATTTACCAGTATGTCGGGTTCGGAAATATACTCTTTGGAAATGAGTAAGACAGAGGCTTTGTCTCAGGCTTTGCGTAAAAGTATTGGTGTACGTATTAAGGAAGAGACCGAGATAATCGAGGGTGAAGTTGTGGAGATACAAATAGATCGTCCAGCCACTGGAACAGGACAGAAAATTGGAAAGGTAGGTTGAATTAAACTTAGTTTGTTAAAGTTTTTTATTTTTTATGTTTGTTTCTGTTTCCTAGGTTACATTGAAAACAACTGAAATGGAAACCAATTACGATTTGGGCAACAAAATCATTGAGTGCTTTATCAAAGAAAAGATTCAAGCCGGAGATGTTATTACCATTGATAAGGCTTCGGGTAAGGTCTCCAAATTGGGAAGAAGTTTTACCCGGGCCCGTGATTACGATGCCACCGGTGCCCAGACCCGTTTTGTCCAGTGTCCAGAGGGTGAATTACAAAAACGCAAGGAAGTTGTACACACTGTCACTTTGCATGAAATCGATGTCATTAACAGTCGCACCCATGGTTTCTTGGCCCTATTTTCGGGTGACACGGGCGAGATTAAACAAGAAGTGAGAGATCAAATCAACAACAAGGTATTGGAGTGGCGTGAAGAGGGCAAGGCAGAAATTAATCCCGGTGTGCTGTTCATTGATGAGGTACATATGTTGGACATTGAATGCTTTTCATTCCTCAATCGTGCTCTCGAGTCGGATATGGCTCCCGTTGTGGTTATGGCCACTAATCGTGGTATAACCCGTATAAGGGGCACAAATTATCGCAGTCCCCATGGCATACCAATTGACTTACTGGATCGTATGATAATTATACGTACCGTAGCCTATTCGGAAAAGGAAATGAAGGAAATATTGAAAATTCGCTGTGAAGAGGAAGATTGCCTAATGCATCCCGATGCATTGACCATTCTGACAAAAATTGCCACCGACACAAGTTTACGTTATGCCATACAGCTGATCACAACGGCAAATTTGGTGTGCCGGCGTCGCAAAGCCACCGAAGTGACAACGGAAGATGTGAAAAAAGTCTATTCCTTGTTCTTGGATGAGAATCGCTCGAGTCAAATATTAAAGGAATATCAAGATGAATATATGTTCAATGAAATCGAGGAAGAGATTGTGGGTGAAATACAGCCGAAGAGGGAAGATGAAAGTGGCGCCGGTGGTGATGGTCAACCGATGGAACATTAAAATGATGTGACTGGTTTCACTTGTGTTTTTTTACTTTTACAGCTCCAGGCTTTAGCATTGTAAATTCTTTTTATTATTCTCATCAATATTTGATTGGATTAATACCTTTTTGTATTACATTTTAAGGCTTTTTTGTTTTTAATACGATATTATTAAATACATTATTCCTCTATGTCACAGGACACATGTGTTTTATTAATCCTGAGAAGTTGACTTTGTTGAGGCCACCTCTACAGGGTGAGATAAAAAAATTTATTGAATAAAAGCAAAAAATGACGGAAATAGCATCAAATTTTAGAATAAGTTTAGAATTGTTCGAATTGGTCACCTTTGGCACGAATTATGGCCTTCAAACGGCCAATGAAACCGTCACACGCAGTTTGAATGTTACTCTGCAGTATTTTGGCCCATTGCCGGCGAAGCGCTTGCTTTAGGTGATCGACACTTTGGTATTTTTTAGTGCCAACCTTGCTTTCAAAAATACTCCAGACACAATAATCCAACGTATTGGTATCCGGAGATTTTGGTGGCCATTGTGAGTTGGAAATGAAACGAGGAACCTCATTCTGTAACCATTTTCGGGCGGCGCGTGCTGGTTGGCGCGAGTCCTGTTGGAATGTCCAAGGTCTGGGTCCAAAATGTTTGCGTGCCCAAGGCTTTTATACACCCTCCAGAATATTTTCGCAATAATATTCGGCATTTATTCTGATGCCACTGTCAATTAATATAAGCGGAGAGCGACCATCGGTTGTTATGACAGCCCACACCATCACCATGGCCGACGCTTGAGTTCTGGTGGCCAACCGAAGTTGCACATTTTCAGCTGTCCTCTTTGGCAAGAAAAACCCGATCATTTTGTTTGTTTAAAAACTGCTGGACAGCGAATGTTTTCGCATTAAAAATCGGAGAAAACCAAATTCGGCAGATCGCCACTGACAGCAGTCTGAAGTTGGTTGCAGTTTTTTCATCTCACCCTGTATATTTAGAGAATTTTCTAGACCATATTTACCCCAACTAGCGTGGATCTTGAAATAAATTTTCTAAGCTTCCTCGAGAAGTAATAAATGGGGATTTTTTAAAGAATATTTCCAGGCCTTCGCGGTTTGAAGAGGGTTATTTTGACAATATTTCACGTAGATTTTTCAATAAATTATGTAGTCTTCTTTTAAACATGGGGTTTTCATGAAACGTGGGATTTTAAAGAAATTGTCTAGACTTCTTCACGGTCCAATAAATGTGGATATTCTAGTACGCTTCGAGGTCCAAGAAACGTGGACTTTTTAAAGGAATTTTCTAATCCGCTTCGAGGTCCTATAAACCTGGATTTTTTTAGTCCCCTTTGAGGTCCAATAAACGTGGATTATTAAAGGAATTTCCTAGTCCGCTTCGAGGTCCTATAAACGTGGATTTTTTGAAGGAATTTTCTAGTCCGCTTCGAAGTTCAATAAACGTGGATTTTCTATTGCGCTTCGAGGTCCAATAAGCACGAATTTTAAGGAAAAATATTAGTCCCGTTTTAAAGAAAATTTCCTGTACCTCTCGTGATCCAATTCTCGATAATTTTTATGGAAATTTTCTAGTCCTATTCGATTTAAAATAAGCCTGTATTTTTTTTTAAAAATTCTCTAGTCTATTCGAGGTCCAATTAAGGCGTTTTAAATACATTTTCTGGTCTTCATCGAAGTGCAATATTCGCGACATTTTAAGGTAATGTTATTTTCCTCTTCAGGGTCCAATAAACGTGGATTTTCAAAGTAATGTTTTAGTTTCTTTCGAGGTCTAATATTCGTAGATTTTTTAAAGATTTTTTGAGCCTTTCTGAAGTCTAGCAAACATGGTTTTTTTTTAAAAAATATCTTCTAAGACCTCTACAGGTCAATTAATAGAGATTTTTTAAGAAAATTTGCTAAGCCTCCTCTAGCCCAATTTAAAGAAATTTTCCTGAAAAAAAAAATTCTAAGCCTCTTCTAGCCCAAATCTAAATATATTTTCTTGACCTCTTTGAAACCAAAAAAAAAAAAAAGAAATTTTTTAAGCTTCCTCTAGTCCAATTTTGAAGAAATTTTCTGGGCATCCCTAAAGCCCATGAAATGTGGATTTTTTAAAGAAATTTCCTAAGCCTCCTCCATCCCAATTTTAAAGGAATTTTCCTTGCCTCCCAGAAGCCCAGAAAACGTGGATTTTTTACAAAAATTTTCTAAGCCTCCTCCATCCCAATTTTAAAGGAATTTTCCTTACATCCCAGAATCCCAGAAAACGTGGATTTTTAAAGTAATTTCCAAAGTCCCCTCAAGCCTAATTTTAAAGGAATTTTCCTTGTCTCCCAGAAGCCCATAAAACGTGGATTTTTTAAAGAAATTTCCAAAGTCCCATCTAGCCCAATTTTAAAGGAATTTTCCTTGCCTTCCAGAAGCCCATGAAACATTTCTGGTTGCAGTTTTTTCATCTCACCCTCTATACCAAGTATATATAATATATCCACATTTGTCTCCAATGTGACCCACGGCATTGTGCAGTGATACCTACACCCTTAAACAAAATGAAATAATTTAAAAAAATCCATCTATTTTTTTGTTTTATTTTGTGATTTATTAAAATGTTTTATTTCACTCTTTCTTTCATTCATAAGTCAGACGTTTTTCGTTTCGTTTTTATTTTTTTGTTTGTGATTACAAAAATATATTTTTTAAGGATTATATATTTTTTAAAACATACCCTCCGCACGCACGCAGACACAACTTATTGTAAGTTAAACACCATTGCAATTCCTTGATTAGTAAATATTATTAAGTGAAATAGTGAGTGAGTGAGTGATTTGAGTTGTTCTTATCGTTTTTTTTTTTTTTTTTTGGCTGGCAATGTATCATCACTGAAGCCATTCCCATTAGAATAGAAGTTAATAAGTCATTGACATATAGGGGTTTATAGTTTTGTTATTGTATCATAAGTCCGTTATATATATTTTTGTTGTAATACAAGTGTGTAGTAGATGTGTGTTTCTTTTCTTTTTTGTTTTGATAGGTGAAAAAGTGTGTGTTTTTAAAGATTTTTAAAGATATGAAAATAATGAAAACAAAAAGAAAAAGACTGACTAATTAGAAAATATTAATGTGTTTTTGTTGTCGTCTGCCTTTTAAGATAACATTACTTATTCTTGTGACTAGATAAAAATTGAATAAGGCATCACTTAAAAGTAAAAACAAAACAAGCCCTAGATTCTTGTTCCATGAAAATATAAAATGAAAAATAATTTCATCATTTTTTATTTATCAAGTCTTTCACTTCATAGAACCAGAATTGTGGCCCAGAACAAAATAAATAAAACTAAGTAAAAAAAAAAAAACATGTGTAGACCAAACAAACCAAGAAGGGACCTACTAGCATTCTTAAAAGTCATTATTAATAATACCGGGCATGGCATAGGGGGGTTTCTTAAAATTACTAAATTAAAAAAATAAAATGAATAATTGATTGAGGGTTCCCACCCAATCATTCATTCATTCATTATAATTAAGACTATATACAAAATTTCTTAAAGCTTTCCTTTGTTTGTTGGAATATCCCTTTTATGCTGCATGATAATTGATAATTTTTTTCCACGTTTTCGTTTGATTTCAAAATCGTTTAGGTGACCCTTATACCAATGAGAGGTATAGTTTTGTCTTCTTTCTCCTTTCTTTGACCTATCTAATTGTCCTTTTTATTATCCTGCATATTGGGTGAGAGGTCGGTAGCCTTACTGCCACTATCTTTACTCTGAGATTCATTCATTGTGGGCGAGAGGTCAGTGGCTCGACTGGGTACTCGTTCATTGGCCTTACGTCGCTGTGCTGACTTGATCTTCTTGTAGACCTTGAAGAATATAAACCACATGGCCACATAGATGAAACCGAAATAATTGACAGCCTTGAAGACCTCAAGCCAACGATCGAAGCTGAGGAAAATAAATGGAGTCAAACACCAGCCCATATATATTAGATTATATGATTTCAGGGCAATGAATTTCAACAGCTTAAAGGGCATGGAATTCACCAGGCCGCCATAATTGGGTACAATGTCCTTTTTGTACAAGTCTTCAACCTGAAAGGTAGGGGGCAGAAAAAGAAACATTCGTTTACAATATTTTGCTATAATGAATTTTGCGACCTGCCACCGCCTCCTTACCTGCTTTTCCGTTGTAACAATCATATACTCAATGAAAAACGACATATAATAGCCACTGTGGAAACCATGCCACACAGCCAAAAAGCCCAATGCTGCACCATAACTTATTTCACGATTATTCAAAAATTTCAGCCTCTTATAGACATAGGAGGCCACCCATTGATTGGTATTGACATTGAAGGATTTGACATAATGTTCCATGGTATTGCCGGTTTCCAGGAGATATAATTTAACATTGGAACAGCCATACCAATCGTCGTTGCCATCAGCCTGTTTGCCATTATAGGTGAAACCTGGAGGGGAGGAAATCAACAACAAGAAATTAAATGAGAACTACCATAATATACAGGGTGAGATGAAAAAAAAAACTGCAACCAACTTCAGACTGTTGTCATTTCTAAGCCACTCGTCCGAAAGCTGTTTAAAATTATTCCAGTGACGGCTCATTATATTTTTTACAAGCGTACAAAAGCAATTTGGTGAGATTTTTCCCGAAAAAAGTTATTCGTGATGGAATTCAAGAAGCGTGATAGTGTGATTTCTTTATATTTGACTGGAAAACCACAAGAGGCTATCGTTAGAGAGCTCCAGCATTTAAATGTGAATAAATCTTTTGTGTCTCGTACCATCGCTCGTTACTGGTACCGTGATACTGGTAGCGTGGCCCGACGTCAAGGAAGTGGACGGAGACGGAAGAAAACAGCAACATCAGCAGAAATGGTTCGAAAAATAAAGAAGCGATTTGATCGAAACCCGTGTCGCAGTGGCCGAAAAATGGCTCGTGTGCTGAACATATCGCAATATTCAAATATAGATTGAAAAATTTGCTCGGGTGGTAAAGCCATTGAAATTCAAAAATGTGCAAGAACTTACACCGCAACTGAAAGAAAATAGACTCAATAGACTCAAGAGCTAAAGAGTGGCTTTGCTTGGTCGAATGGAAAAGTGGTGAACGGCTGATTTTGGTTTTCTCCGATGCGAAAACGTTGTCCTGCAGTTTTTAAACAAACCAAATTATAGTGTTTACTTGCCAAAGAGGTCATTTGAAATTGTGCACCTTCGGTTGGCCACCAGAACTCACTCAAGCGCCGGCCTTGATGATGGTGTGGGCCGCCATAACAGCCAAGGGTCGCTCTCCGCTCGTATTAATCGACCGTGGTATCAAAATAAATGCCGAATATTTTGGCGAAATTATTCTGGAGGGTATATTAAAGCCTTGGGCACGCAAACATTTTGGCCGCAGACCATGGACATACGAATAGGACTCAGTATCATCGCACTCAACACACGCCACCCAAGAATGGTTACAAAATGAGGTTCCTCGCTACATTTTCAGCGCACAATGGCCACCAAAATCTCCCGGATACCAATCCGTGGGATTACTGCCTCTAGAGTATTTTGCAAGGAAATCAAAGTTGGCACTAAAAAATACCAAAGTGTCGATCACCTCAAGCAAGCACTTCACCGGAAATGTGCCAAAATATCGCAGAGCAACATTTGGACAGAGTGCGATGGTTTCATTGGCCGTTTGAAGATCATAATTCGTGCCAAAGGTGACCAATTCGAACAAATCTAAACTTATTTTAAAATTTTATGCTCTTTCTGAAATTTCTTGGTTTCATTCAAAAAAAAAAATTAAAAAAATTTAAAAATTGTGGCGTTAGACTTTGTTGCAGATTCTTTTTATCTCACCCTGTATATTTCAAAAACGACTTCTTACCCAAACACATTAGGGCTCCCTCGGCCAATAGCCAACAGGAAATGTATTTATACAAAGAAAACTTGCCCCACAGACCCAAATAAATAAGGCGCCACAAATACGCCTGATTACGATAGGCATCTGTGAGGAAGTAATTATCGGGCAACATCATGGCTCCCACTTGTCGGATCAACAAATACACCAATCCCAGGCATAAACGTATCAATCCAGTTCGTACATAACCCTTGTACTGCATAAATTCACCATTGATAAAACGCTGATAACGACGATACGGAAACTGGGGACCAATCAAAAATGAGCCCGGAAAATAGGCATAGGCCATTAGTTCCAACAGTGAGGGCACCTTTTCCAAATTACATTCCAATTGATCTTTCGACAACTTCTCCCGGGGCTTAACACCATCCGCCACATCAAACGCGAAACCAATCAAACGCAATGTCAACACACAGTGTGGAGTTGTCCATAGGATGTCATATTCATTGCTTTCGGTAAAATAGTAACCCGTCAACAGGTAAATCATGTGAAATATGAAATTCACCCCCACCAGCTGGGTGGGAGAGTTGCGTAAGAGTCGCACCAATAAATATGTTATCCAAATACAAACTAAACTGTGATAAGTATTTAGGCCATAATTGAAAAAGCACAAACCAAATCCACACAGGGAAAAGAAGATGTGATGGACAGGTTTTGAAGATTGTGGTTGGATTAGGAAACGATATATAAGTGCAATGGGATAGCCTAAAAAAAGAGAGAAAAAAAAAACACATTATTATTTGAGTTATTTTTTTTTTTTTGTTGATGGATGACTCATTATTCGACTTTGTCATCATCATCATCATTATTTTGAGTTAAGGTGCAGAATTTATATTACCTGCCAAGAGGGTAAGCAATAAACGTATGGCTGCTTCAGGAGCTCCAATTTTGTCGGATAAATTGGCAATAATGCCACCGCCGCCACCACCACCACTGGCTTCGATGGTCATTTTCTTTCTAGCGTAGGCAAATCTAAGGTAATTTACTGCAATGACAACAACAAAACAAAACATGTTATTAGAAATGTTAATGGGAAAAGGTAAAGGAAATTAAGAAATTGTTCTCTTGGCTATACAAATTTATTTCTTCTCGACATTACTTGGAGAAGGATAATAATTTAAAAAAATATTTATATCGGAGAAGATATCCACAAAATGGAAACGTTCGACCCAAAACTTACTCCATTTGGGCTGATATTAGCCATTATTTGAACAATAAACCTGAAATTGAATTAAGGACATATACAGGGTTGCCCAATTCGACGGACCCATCTGACAACGCCATAACTTTTGACAGAGATGTCACATCGCTTAATGACATACCGCATTTGAAGCGTCAGTCCAAGCAGATTTTTCCCATGAATCAATACACGCCACGCGAGCGTCATCCAAATGGCCGAAGATGGCGAGCAATTTTGGAACAATCATGTCCGATGAAGCCCATTTCACATTGAATGGGATCGTAAATAAGCAAAATTGCCGTTTTTACGCCACTGAAAATCCTCAGGAGATTCAAGAAGTGCCTCTTCATGACGAAAAAGTCACAGTTTGCGGCGTTAGTGCAAAAACGGTCATTGGTCCGTTTTTCTTCCAAAATGCAAATGACCATGCTGTTACCATCAATCAGGAGCGTTATCGCGACATGATGACCAATTTTGTGATGCCAATTATTCGTCGAAAGCGTATGAGGCAGTTCTGGTTTCAACAAGACGCCCCTCCACCGCACACAAGTCGCATAACAATCGATTTTCTGAAGAATTTGTTTCCGGGGACCGTCGAATATGGGCAACCCTGTATGGGAGCTATATTCAAATCTTAGCCGATCTCGATAAAATTTGGCAAAGGTATTTCCGAGCTCTATAAGATATCTGATACCAAATATCATTGTTGTCGAATGCATATTACGAATGTGAGGGACTTAAACACCAAATCGGATGATACAAATATATGGGAGCTATAGCTATATATCTAAACCGATTTTCACCAAATTAGATGTACTTGCTTGTAGACTGAATTCGGTCGGATGTGCCAAAATTCAGGTCATTTGGACTAATATTGGCCATTTGGTGCACATATAACCCGAAAACGGTTGAAGATATATATGGGAGCTATATCGAAATCTGAACCGATCTTGATAAAATTTGGCAGAGGCATTTCTGGGCTGTATCTAATATCTGGTACCAAATATCATTGTTGTCGAATTGATATTACGAAGGAACATAAAGACCAAATCGGATGATACATATATATCGGAGCTATAGCTATTTCTGAAGCGATTTTCACCAAATGAGATGTAGTTGCTTCTAGACTGAATTCGGTTGGATGTCCCAAAATTCAGGTCATTTAGAATGATATTGACCACTTAGTGCACAATTAACCCGAACTGCAGACTGCTGTCATTTCTAAGCCACTAGTTCGACAGTTGTTAAAATTGCAGCTCATTATATTGTTTACAAGCGTACAAAAGCATTTTGGTGAGAATTTTCCAGAAAAAAAAGTTATTTGTGATGGAATTCAAGAAGCGTGATAGTGTGATTTCTTTATATTTGGCTGGAAAACCTCAAGTGGCTATCGTTAGAGGACTCCAAGATTTAAATGTGAATAAATTTTTTGTGTCTTGTACCATCGTTTGTTACCGTTGCCGTGATACTGCGTAGCGTAGCTCGACGTCAAGGAAGTAAACGGAGACGGAAGAAAACAGCAACATCAGCAGAAATGGTTCGAAAATTAAAAAAAATGACTTGAAACCCGCATCGCATTGGACGAAAAAATGGCTCGTGAGCTGAGTGTAAAGACATTGAAATTCCAAAAAAGTGCATTCATTCGGAAAATATTGAAAATGAGCTCGGGGTAAAGACATTGAAATTCCAAAAAAGTGCAAGAACTTACACCTCAACAGAAAGAAAATAGACTCAAAAGAGCTAAAGAGTTGCTTCGCTTGGCCGAAAAGTGGTGAACTGCCGAATTTGGTTTTCTCCGATGAGAAAACATTCGTTGTCCAGCAGTTTGTAAACAAACAAAATGATCGGGATTATTCTTGCCAAATAGGTCAGCTGAAAATGTGCACCTTCGGTTGACCGCCAGATCTCAAGCCTCAAGCCGGCCATGGTGATGGTGTGGGCCGCCATAACAGTCTGAGGTCGCTCTCCGCTCGTATTAATTGACCACGGCGTCAGAATAAAAGCCGAATATTATCGCGAAAATATTCTGGAGGATGTACTAAAGCCATGGGCACGCCACCAAATTTGGCCGCAGACCTTGGACATTCCAACAGGACTCAGAACCATTAAGCACGAACCACACAAAAATGGTTTCAAAATGAGGTTCCTCGCTTCATTTCCAGCGCACAATGGCCACCAAAATCTCCGGATAGCAATCCGTTGGACTATTGTGTCTAGGGTATTTTGGAAAGCAAGGTTGGCACTAAAAAATACCAATGTTTCGATCACCTCAAGCAAGCGCTTTCCCCGGGAATGGGCCATAATACCGCAGAGCAACATTCAAGCTGCGTGTGACGGTTTCATTAGCCTTTTGAAAGCCATAATTCGTGCCAAAGGTGACCAATTCGAACATATTTCCCATATTTTTTGCTTTCATTCAAAAAAATGTAAAAATTATGGCGTTTGACTTTGTTGAAAATTTTTTAATCTCACCCTGTAAGCATAAATTTTGCTAGAAAATGCAGAAACTTTTTTTGCACACCCTAACGGCATCATCATATTTTCACATTTTGCTGACAGCAATTATTATTTGCCTTGCCATACTTCACTTAATTTTTTCAGTTTTTTTTTAAAACTTCCCTCCATGATGATATTGCATATGCAATATGCGAGTGTAAATACTTGATCTAAGTGTGTGAGAACAAAGCATCATTATTCTGTGGCTTTATTAAACAGTTTTGAACTTTGTGTTAGAGTCAATAGCCAATCATCCAACGTCATATATAAATAATGCTAATGCTGGCTAGTGGCCTTATCGTAGCAATGAACAAGAGGTGTATTTGCTAACATACAAATATAGGTTAATCTGATAAGATATATGAACATGTCCCAGGAAGCATCATTTTTATGTTTTTCTTTGATAAATTATATTATGTTATTTCGTATACTTCAAAGTCATTGCTTAACCTGCATTGTCAATCTAAATTAGTTGTGAATATCAAGTTCATATGCACTCACACTGACACACAAAGTGCTAGGTATGCTAATTTATACGAAAGTTTTATGAATGAAAAATATTCACAAAATTTAGCATCAGTATGCAAAAAACAAACAGTTGATTATGATATGGATTTTAAAATGGGGTTACATATTCAGGAAATCGTTTGGTATAGGTGCAAAATCTATATTAAGTAGAATAACCAAGATTATGTGTTATTTATACATTAATCGATTTTTTTACCTGGAAACATATCAATAATAAAATCTATATTTGGACATACTCGATTAAGTGGGGACAACAAAAGATTAAAGATATTTAATTTCTTAAAAATATTTGTAATCAATTTCCTACTTGGAAACATATCAATGACGTCTTAAAAAGAAATCATAAAATCAGTACAGCTGATATTGTTAATAAATAATGTACAAGCACATAAATTTCTGATAAGCCTATAGAATAGGGGTTGGTTGAGGCTTGTCAAAAAGCCAAACCTCATCAACGTGCGTTGCGTGATGGCGATGATGATGAATGAGGTAAACAACATTTCATACAGTCATTGCGGAAATGTCCTTGCTCTAATTGTATGTAAAGGAAAAGAAAATTACAAAACCACAAAAAAATGCTTACAAATATTTGGCAATATCCGCAGATGAATTGTCCAACCCTGAACTTTTAACACAGATTAAAAATTACTATTCCTAATTGGATAAAGGAAAAAAGTATAATAATTATAAAAAAATCGTTAAATCAACAACAATCATATTTACGTTAATATTCCAAATGTAGATATTTTTTTTTAAATTTTCTTTGATGCATTTCTATTGTTTTGTTTTATTCACACCAAGACTGTAGGGCAAGTGAAACTGGTTGGTTGCCCATGACACAGACACACCACTCACTCTGCACAATAATAACTTTTTTTTTTGAGGTATAAAAAAAGTAAGTTAAGGTTGCACACTGACCGGTGATGAACAACAACCTCTTAATCATTGCACAACACCTCCACCACCACCAACTTTTACACCTTTTGCTTGCATTAAGAGATTTCTTCCTCTATTGTTTAATTAACAATGTCCAATATCTATATGTTCATACATATATATATGTTAGATATTTTGAAAACAAAAAATTATATATACATTTACCAAAAGAAAAGTGTTTGTCTTTTATTGATATATCCTATTTTTATTGAATTTTCAAAACGTCGTATTGTATGGCCGTTTTCATCCGCACAAAAATGGAACCCAACGTTTCGTATTGACAGCGACTGAGAAACTAAGGGGTATATAGGTCGGCTTTTGAATATCAAAGTCGTGTGCGACGGGCGATGGCGGTAAGATTGTGTTTTATAACGGCGTTAAATAAAGTCAAGACGAGTAGCAACGAAATGTGTGATGTTTGGAAGTATATTACGTTTATCGGAAACGTATTACCAGCGAATGGCAGTGAAACCTTATTAATCGCTAATTGGAACAGTTCAAAGATCGAATTAAAGAATTTGTTATTTTACAACAGCTTTCAACAAATTGTGTTATAGATATCGTTATAAAAACAATAAAAAAAACTCATATATCCTATGTTCCAGAACCTGCAAGAATCTACGAATTTTGATAATTTTTCGATATCATAAAGAAATATGCTAGGAACACAATTGGAGCGAACGACGAATTTCGCCCTACGCGGCGACAAAATGAGCCGCGAAAATTCGTCGTATGGAACACAATACCGACGTAATTATAAAACAGCTGATGAAGTTGTTTACTTTTTGCTCATTTGTTGACTACAATGAATTATACAAGAACACATAATTCTTTACGTTCTCTATTATAATTTCACTTATATCCATCTTCTCTATTATAAATTCACTGATATTCATCTTCACTCAGGCGCAAGTACACAAATAAATAAACAAATTAATTATGTTTTTTTATACGAGTAACAGATAGTAGAGTGACCATAACAAATTTTAAAGTAAAAAGTAACTTTATTTACTAAAACACATAAAATTCGTACAAGTATGGCCACCTTGTACTGTTTGGTTCGCCGGTCGCCGGCGTATGAAATAGAAATAAAGCTAATTGAGTTCGCGGCGACCGACGAAATTTTCGCCGGTGCCGTGATTGTGTGCACTTCCATATACACATATGTGTTTTATTTTTGACGACGAACATACGCCGCGAAACAATTCGTCGTTCGCTCCAATTGTGTTCCTAGCAATAAGGAGGTGGAACAGCTTCGTAGAACTACAGAAATACAGCCCTGAGGCTATGCCCGCTTTCTGTCAGAATTATTCAAAATTATAGGCAACAAGTTGTTTTCATTTATTTGATATTTTTTGTTCATTTTTAAAATGAGTCAAATAGCGCGAAAGATGAATTAAATGCCCGTTCCCTCAAAAATCTGATCCTGTTATTTTATTTAGTATATTGTTTTTTTATTACGTATATTACCGAAAATAAAAGATTAAATAAAGTCGACTTTAAGATCTGTTCCATAGGCAAACAACGACTTCGACTTCTAAATTTGTCAACACCAAAAATACATTTTCTAAATGTTTGAAATTCGGCCAATACTTCCCTTAGTTTCTCAGCCGCTGCAAAGGTACAAGCATGGTACAATGAATTCAAGGTAGGGCAGAACTACCATATGATTTCAATTTTTTTATTTTTCTGGCTTAATATGTCAACTTAATTTGTTTATGTGTGCGTATTCTTTTCAATAATAAAAAATTTTTCAGAAAATATTCAAATTCGGGTGTTTTCAAATGCTTATTACAACATATGCATCGAAAAAATCTACAGTTTTTGTCGCGAAATAAACCATAAGAGATATATAGAATATGATTTTGAAAAAAATTTTGAACTATCATTCAGTTTTCGCGGTTTTAAATTATTTATTCAAAATCAATGCAACAAGTTGTTTGCTTTTTTATTGTTTTGATAGTAATTTTGACATTACAAGCCAAACAGGTAGACCTCTATACTTGCAATTTTTTCAAAGTTGACCTACCTTCACTTCATGCTAGGAACACAATTGGAGCGAACGACGAATTTTTTCGCGGCGTATGTTCGTCGTCAAAAATAAAACACATATGTGTATATGGAAGTGCACACAATCACGGCACCGGCGAAAATTTCGTCGGTCGCCGCGAACACAATTAGCTTTATTTCTATTTCATACGCCGGCGACCGGCGAACAAAACAGTACAAGGTGGCCATACTTGTACGAATTTTATGTGTTTTAGTAAATAAAGTTACTTTTTACTTTAAAATTTGTTATGGTCACTCTACTATCTGTTATTCGTAAAAAAAAACATAAATAATTTGTTTATTTATTTGTGTACTTGCGCCTGAGTGAAGATGGATATCAGTGAATTTATAATAGAGAAGATGGACATAAGTGAAATTATAATAGAGAATGTAAAGAATTATGAGTTCTTGCATAATTTGGCCTCAAAAGACTACTGAGCAAAAAGTAAACAACTTCATCAGCTGTTTTATAATTTCGTCGGTATTGTGTTCCATACGACGAATTTACACGGCTCATTTTGTCGCCGCGTAGAGCGAAATTCGTCGTTCGCTCCAATTGTGTTTCTAGCATCATTGTACCATGGGTACAAGTACATTAGAAGCTTGAAGTCATGGCTAGGCATATTTTGTGACATTTCATAAAGGGATTACAGAGTCGCACTAAAATCCTGCCGTCGTTTTCCATTATAATTTGACATTAATGTGCCTAGCCATGACTTCAAGCTTTTTATGTACTTGCGCCCTAAGACTTGTCGAATGTAAGAAAATTGAGGTATAGCCCTGTCACTTTGCAGTTTGCAATAGTTGTACGTCATCATTAGAGTCACACACAATTGACTTTCTTCTCTCTCTCACACACACACTTTACTCTATTGTGAATTAAACATTATTAGCTGTCATACGAAGGGACTCAAGCTCCACTGGGCAGTGACCACCGAAAAAGTCCACTGGTCCAATTAATCCATTCCATTTTCCAAATAAATTGTCGCGTACACATTGAAGTTGCCGAGAAGTAGTAGCCGGATAGGAGTATTCACAGGAACCATATAAAACATATTCGCTGAAAAGCAAACACATTAGGGAATCAGGTACGTGTCCAATTTTCCCTTGGCTTTGTGTTTCACAATAGACAATTGGATTGCGTTTTCTTTACAGATCATAAACCCTGGCGAACTTGACGAATATGAGACGCAACAACAACTATCCTTATCAACCGTTAAATCAAAATCCCGCTCCACTTGGCCATGATTCATTGGAGGAAGAAAATGAACGAGCCGCCGAGGAGTTGAAACAAAAAATTGGAGCCCTTAAATCGCTGACAATAGATATTGGCAATGAAGTACGATATCAGGATAAACTACTACGGGGTATTGATGATGATATGGATCGGACACAGGGTTTTCTGGGCAATACAATGTCTCGGGTAGTGCGATTGGCCAAAAATGGAGGCAGTCGCCATATGTGTTACATGTTTTTATTTGTACTGTTCGTTTTCCTTTTGTTGTATGTGGTATTAAAGCTTAAGTAGTTAGTGGGTGCAGATGGAGAAGTAATAGAAACTAGTAGCAAAAATTAGTGAAAGGTAAAAACGTTAAACGAAACATTTATTACACTCTTTTTTTTGTATTGTACATTTATAAAAAGACAAAAATATAAAAGTTTGAAAAATAATATTGTACCTCATTCTTTCTAAGCTTTCTTTCCTTTTTTTGTGTACTTGATAGTGCATACTTTTAATACTTCCTAGAGTGGATAATTGATATTAGCTCTTACACATAAGAGTAAATTATTAAAGAATTAACTACATTAGAAGAGGCAATAGTTCGGTGTCTTAAAAACATTGTCGATTTTTTTTCTGACGGGGGTGTTCCTATTGTTTTTTTTTCTAATCATTTGAAAACTTGAGATTTTCAAATTGATGCTCCATTAGTTACTATGCCTGATAGGAGGTCTTCATTTTCTTACTGCGTCGACTGAAATCCTGATCATCGCCATCGGAACAGCTGTCATGCTGGAGAGTTTGATCTCCATTTGTTAATTGCTGATATTCAGTTGAATCAACTACATAGCCGCTTTTGGCACATTCCAACATACGTACTGGAAGGGAAAAAGTAAAAAAATTGGATTTAAATGACATCAAATTAGGTTTAAGATTTTATTTGTATTACTCTGTGCCTCCAGTATTGCATTTTGTTTCTTTATCTCCTCCACACCTTTTTGATTTTCTTGGATTTTACGTCTCATTGTTTGAATGCATTCCGTTGTTTTCTTTAAAATTTGTGCCCGGCTGGCCTGCAAGCAAAGAAACATGTTATTATAAAGTCTGCTCAAGTATTGTTGTTTTTCAAAACCTTTTCGCCTTTTAGAGAAGGAACGGCTTCTCGCAGGGATGTAAAGCTTTCCTTGATGTGATCACGACGTTTTCTTTCTAATGCATTGTGATGGGCCCTCTTCTCCTCTTGTGTAAAATTTTGTGTATTGGTATGGCGCTGGGGTAGGCCCGCATCAGAATCATTGTCATCCTAGAAAATAATTTAAAAATACATTTAGTGTTTTAAAACTCATAGGCAGGGCATGTATTCATGTGTTGTTTGTTATTGGTTTCCAATGTTTTGATTTGTTATTTTCTCTCTCACTTCTATCAAGCATGCATGCCTAAACAAAAGTTCTCTCAAATAAAAAGCTTCTCTTTCAACTTTCTTATTTCCCAACATATATGTATATGAAAGGAAAATTAAAGTCTTTGCAATAAACAACTTTTAATAACTACCTACATCACTTTCTATATCAATATCACGGTCGTCGTCACTCATTTTTAGTTATGTTGATATTTTTTTCTATAATTGATGGGATTTATTTTATTTTTAACTGTAAATTTTTACGACGGAATTGAACCAAGTCGACTACGGGAGATAACGAATAAGAATATGAAAAGGAGGGTCAAAAATGAGCAACAAAATCAAAATCCATTGAGGAATGATAAGTCGGGCTGCTAAGCACAGACAATTGATAACACATAGAGTAGAGTATGAACTATTTATCAAATTGTTTGTCAAAAATATTGTAAAATGAACCTTTGAAAACACAACATTGGAGTTAGAAAAGCTTTTCACACATAACTTCAACTGTGAATTCCAAATGAAATTCACTGGATTTGTTGTGTGTCGAAAACTAAAATGTTTTTACTCTTTTGCCACTTTTGTACGTAAAAGCTGCAAAATGTTCACTTCTTTTCTTCTATTTGTATGTTCTCTTTGGAAAATTTTTACACCGCGAATTTGGCCGAGCAAAAGTAGAAAATCTGTCAAAAAGCGAATTTGACTTCTTATTCCATTTAATCACACGTGGTATCTGATATTTTTTATGAAATGTTTTTCTAACCATTTAATATTAACATAGCAATCGGTAAACTTTGCCATGAAAATGGTAAATTAAATTATGAACATCAAGGTGACACGATAAGCCCAGCTCATGTTAGAAGAATACAGGTAGGGGCATCAACGCTTGGGAACATTGATATGTCAACAATTTAAAAATGTTCTTCTTCTCATACATAAGTAACTTTTTATATGTTTTCTTATATTATGCCAATCGGAAATTATTATAATATGCGTTTTTCAACAATTTTAACAAATTTTGAATAATTTTTCATTCAACATTTTCATTACCAAAATTGGTTTGACAGTTCATTGTCCCAGCAGCTGTGTCAATGCGTCTACCTGTATTCTTCTACTATGGCCCAGCTACTAGTTCTGTAATTTTCTTCGATACCATGAAGGGAAAATCGGTTATCGTAGTAAGAACTTTATGTTCGTAGTAAGAACATAGATAAGTTATTTATATTAAAGGGAAATTAAAAAAATCATTTGAATTTAACTTTAATATATATATTTTTTCGAATTGCATGCGTGTCTCAGTAGGGGCTTAGTTTGAGTCGACAACAAAAAACAACTCTGTTTATATACGACACGTCATTTTTGTTGTTCTCTTCTCTTGCTCTCTCTTTTTGACTTTACATTTGTTGTTATTTCTATGCTATAGTGTTGGCAATTGTTTATCTGTAGATGAGCACTCTTTTTACCTATTTTCAGCACATTTGTTGCTTCTTATGTGAAGTGTCAATGGCAAAATCTTCTATTACACCATTTAGTCTTTTTTAAAAATCACTTTGTCATTTTCGTTATTGTATGCAACTTTAATATTAATTTTTAATTTATTTAGGAAACAAGGAACTAGTTCAATCAACCGTTCAATAGTTCAACTGCCCCAGTGAGATTACTCAACATTGCGGAGAGCTCTCTTCCTCTCTCTCACGGTAGTCGTTGCTAATTTGACAGTTCATACCAAGAGGAAAAAAGGAAAATAGTCAGAAAAGGCCGAGTTTTTTGATATTTTATAACAAAACTTAATTAACCAATACAAAGCTAATAGAAAATAGTTGTAATTTCTAAACAATACCCCTACGTAGTGAATCCAACAACAAGAAAATGGGTTAGTAGAGAAATTCTTTTACAAAGCCATAGATAAGTGACGTTGTGAGTCAGTGTGTCAGAAAGGATATTGCTGGTGTTGTCTTACCTTGCCTTGGTGGACATTGTAACATTGTACACTAATGTTTGTTTGTTTTATGTTTTCCCCCCCAGGTGGTGTGTTAAGTTACTTTCGTGGCTTATTGGGATCACGGGAAATGCGTATTTTGATCTTGGGTCTTGACGGAGCTGGCAAAACAACAATTTTATACCGTCTGCAGGTGGGTGAAGTGGTGACCACCATACCGACAATAGGTTTCAATGTGGAACAGGTTACATATAAAAATTTAAAATTCCAAGTATGGGATCTGGGCGGACAGACAAGTATACGGTGAGTGGAGTAATTGTCGAATATAGATATTGGATTTTAACCAGCTGTTTCCCTTTTGCAGACCCTATTGGCGATGCTATTACAGCAATACAGATGCCATTATATATGTGGTTGATTCGGCGGATCGTGATAGAATAGGTATTTCCAAAGATGAGTTATTGTATATGTTAAGGGTAAGTTTGTTGGTATAGAATAAGTAAACTCATTGTTATTGTGGTCGTTTGCTTTTAGGAAGAAGAACTTGCCGGTGCCGTATTGGTAGTATTGGCTAACAAACAAGACATGGAAGGCTGTATGACTGTTGCCGAGGTCCATCATGCTTTGGGCTTGGAAAATCTCAAAAACCGCACTTTCCAAATATTCAAAACGTCGGCGACAAAAGGTGAGGGCCTTGATCAGGCCATGGATTGGCTTTCTAATACATTGCAGAGTCGCAAATAGTCTTATTTATAGAAGGAAAACCCCGTAACGTAAATAACTTTTGCAACAACAATTCAAAACAAATAATTCCTTTTTTTTTGGTTAATTAACTAAAAGCATTTCATTTAATACAACGTACCCTACACTTTTTTGTTTATAATATTTAAGTTATTATTTAAAAGATAAAAAAGAAGATAAAGCAACAATTAACTAAAGATTTGTAATAACAAAAAAAAAAAGAAAGATGATTTATAAAAGCAATTTGGTAACTATTTATTCGAGAAAATTGGCAACCGTTCTTGATTCATGCTATGCAGTTTTAATTGCTAAGATTTCCGGAAAAATAGTCGACGACATTCAAGGAATGGCAACATAATTGAAAATATTTTGTAAATGTAAAATTGCCTAGTGTGTATTAGGACTATGATTTTATTGTTTTGCTTCTAGCAACCAACACCCAACAAATTCTCCCCCCAATCAGCTAAATAATTTATTTATTTATTTATTTATTTATTTATTTAATTCATACTTAATACTAAAGCCTCCAAGGCCAATTAATTGTATTAGTGGTAATAAACAAACGTTGTTTTTATAAAAACAACAATAAAAGGGATAAGCCTGACCATTTTGCAACAACAAAATACTACGGTATCCCGAACAAACAAGCCACACTGTTCTATTTATAGACAAGGCACGGTCGACGAAGGGGTTTTTGTTGTAACAGACAAAACCAACTTACATGGTTATGCTTCTTCGTTCAGGTTGAACGAAAGCATAACAAGTGGAGAAAGATGTGAATGTTTATAAGTGCGGTTGTAAGATTTAGAAGACTTTCCAAAAGAATTTTAGTTTTATTTAATTCTTTGGTTCCTCTTCTATTGAGCTTACGATCTCGTCACTTGGGTAAAAATGTTTTTTGTCATAGAAGTTATTTTTAAAATAACTTCTGGGGAGAATATCCCAGACAAAAAACAAGGGAACTGATGAGGATTGGTGGCTCTTTCCTATAGCCTTTTTATTTATTAAAAATTTGGTCATTTATTTTTTCCATTGTACAAAAAAAAACAAGGTAAGGTAGAGCTACCAACTGATTACAATTTTTTCATAGTGTATCCGACTTCTGCCAATTTTGTGTATGGATTTACAGGGTGAGATGAAAAAACTGTAACCAACTTCAGACTGCTGTCATTTCTAAGACACTCGTCCGGCAGCTGATCAAAATTAATCTAGTGACAGTACAAAAGCATTTTGATGAGAATTTTCCAGAAAAAAAAAAACTTATTCGTGATGGAATTCAAGAAGCGTGATAGTGTGATTTCTTTATATTTGGCTGGGACCTACAAGTGGCTATCGTTAGAGTACTCCAGCATTTAAATGTGAATAACGCTTTTGTGTCTCGTATCATCACTCGTTACCGTGATACTGGCAGCGTAGCCCGACGTCAAGGAAATGGACGGAGACGAAAGAAAATAGCAACATCGGCAGAAATGATTCGAAAAGTAAAGAAGCGACTTGATCGAAATCCGCGTCGTCGCATTGGCCGAAAAATGGCTCATGAGCTGAACATATCGCAATATTCCATTCGGCAAATATTGAAAAATTAGCTCGGGGTGGTAAAGCCATTGAAATTGCAAAAAGTGCAAGAACTTACACCGCAATAGAAAGAAAATAGACTCAAAAGAGCTAAAGAGTTGCTTCGCTTGGCCGAAAGTGGTTAACTGCCGAATTTGGTTTTCTCCGGTGAGAAAATATTCGTTGTCCAGCAGTTTGTAAACAAACCAATGAGGTCAGCTGAAAATGTGCACCTTCGGTTGGCCACCAGAACTCAAGCGATGGCCATGGTGATGGTGTGGGCCGCCACAACAGCTAATGGTCGGTCTCCGCACGCATTAAACGACCGTGGCATCAGAATAAATACCGAATATTATCGCGAAAATATTCTGGAGGGTGTATTAAAGCCTTGGGCATGCAAACATTTTGGCCGCAGACCTTGAACATTCCAACAGGACTCAGCACCGTCGCACTCAGCACGCGCCACCCAAGAATGCTTACAAAATGAGGTTCCTCGCTTCATTTCCAGCGCACATTGGCCACCAAAATCTCCGGATACCAATCTATTGGACTATTGTGTCTGGAGTATTTTGCACGGAAAGCAAAAATAAATACCAAAGTGTCGATCACCTCAAGCATGCGCTTCGCCGGCAATGGTCCAAAATCCAACAGAGCAACATTCGCGCCGTGTGTGACGATTTCATTGGCCGTTTGAAGACCATAATTCGTGCCAAAGGTGACCAATTCTTTAAGTTTACGAAGCTGTTCAAACTCCTTATGGTACCATGGTTCTAGCTCCATATTGTACAGTCATTTTTTCGTCATAGAAAATAAATCCCTTTCCCAAGCCCCATATTTCGTCATTTCATAGCAAATTCTTCAATTTTTTTTATTTTTAAATAAAACTTAGAAAATTTATTTCAAACAATCTTAGACAATAACTTAAACCGTACTGAGAAAGATTCAAAACATTCAAAAGCAAATCTCTCTCCCTCTCTCGCACTAACATCATTTTACCATTCGGGCAAACCGAAACGCCTAACACGTTTCTCTTGTGTATCCAAATCCATGCGTATTTTTTGTCGCATATAAAATATGGGGCAATCCCGATTGGAGCACAGTACCTCTTCATGCAAGCTACCCTGACAACGTTGACATTCCGTCCAGAGCCGTGAAAAGGTCTCCTCCATTTGTCGTTTGGCCACCACCTCCTTCATATAGAGTTCACCCATTTTGGGTTCACAATGTGGGCACAAAGGAGCATTTTCATAACCCTTGGGCATGAGGGCCTTACAGCCCAAACACGAGGATTTCTTGGTCATGAAACCAGCCAAGCCACCAACCTTGGAGGTGACCACAGTACGGGTACGGGTATGTTCTCCCTCTAAAAAAAAAACAAAAAACAACAACATTAAAATGTGTAATCCCTCCCCAATAACACACCCCCTCCCCCCACCACTTACTCAATAAAATCGATTCCGCCTTATCTCCCAAGATGGGCTCAAAAATACGCAGCAAAGGTTTTGACAGCTGCTGTTCCAAATAGTAATTCGAATCTATGGGCACACAGTTCTCCAACACATATAAGGGATCTTCCGCCTTTTGATAGGCCGGAGTATTCTTTGCTGCTGCACATATAACATATGGCACACGATCACCAAGTTTGGGTGCTGTTCCGGGATCACGTTTCTTCATTTTATTTGCCAACTCAACGTGAGCCTGCTTGGCGGCATAATCAGTTTTGGCCAACTCTTTGGTTATAACCAACTGTGAGATATCTATACGATTGCAAAGCAAATCGGCTATGGTTTGTTTGGCATACTCCACCGCACCATCGGGATTTCTTTCGATAAGCAACTTTTGCAGGCAGGTATTCATTAAATTTGCCACCAAAGGTGAATTATCTCGGCGCACGGTTTCAATACCTTTGCAGTCCATTTTGTCGTAGGTCTCCGGCCTGGTAAAATACAGACCAGCATAGCGTTTCTTATTGATCAACAAATATGGATAGTAGACCTTTTCGAATTCCAATTTAATGGGCCGCACAAATTTCGAAGATACCAAATCGGCTGCCTCTCGACCCAATTCCATGGATCGTTCCAAAGATTTCACACCAAAGTTGACCATGACAGAATCGGTGTCACCATAAATGACCACAGCATCATTCTCATAGCCATTGGCTCGGGTGTAGTGGCTTTCCACTTCGTTTTTGGTCATTTCAATCATGGTACGACCGTAGGAGGTAACCGAGCCGGATATTTCCAAACAGGGCAATTTACCAACCTGAGCCCCGGTGAAACCGTAGACAGAGTTGGCGGACATCTTCAAAGCCAATTGACGACCATCCAACACTTTACGCTTAAAAGGATCCTTTTCCACTTTCAAATCGTTCTTGGCCCTTTTACGCGCACCTAAAAGCGACTCCAAAATCTCGGGCAACAGACCTCTTCGCACAGTGGCCTTTACAAAAGTGTTATTTGAAGGTGTTCGTTCAATGTCGTCATCTTTGAGACCCAGTTTATCCTTCATGCCCGGTTGCAGCAATGTCGTGTAGCACAAATTGTGAGCCATCATAATACTGGGATATAGGGAGGCAAAATCCAGCGTAGATATGGGATCTGCATAGTAACCTCTTTTCGGTTCAATGACCGTGGCTCCCTCATATTGCTCATCCGAACCCTGTGATGAATACGACGGCATTATGAAATCTTTGGTCTTGGCCTTCCTTAACAGCTGACTTAATACTTTGATTTGTTGACCTCGAGTTAAAAGAGATTCCAGCGGCACACCTGTTACCCTTGCCATTTCCATGTAATTTACAATGGACATGAGTTTATCCAAAAGTCTCAGAGGCAAATAGGCATCCTTCAGACAGTACATGGCCAGGCGACGCCTTGTTTGCTCATCGCCATTTTGTAGGTCTGTTATAATACTATGGTGGACATCTTCCTTTTGTTCTTGCAGAAAATGATAGGAAACTGCATTCAGGGTATACGAACGCAGTTTGTAGTCTCTTAGCAAGACAAACAGAAGGTCAAATGGCACCCGACCCTCAAAGTTAACATATTTGTTTTCACGTCTTCCCATTTGCTTGGATTGCAACACCTGTTCCTTAATCACGGAACGTATATTCTTTATTCTTCCCAGGTATTCAAAATTCTTGACCTTCAGGTGGGCTGCTCGGTCCAGCAGATAGGGTATGTCAAAGTTATTGATGTTATATCCCGTCAATATGTCCGGATCAACTTCTCTTACAAAACTTGACCATTTGTCCAATAACTCGGTTTCGGTATTGAAACACAAAACTTGACTACCCACAATCGGAGCACAAGTATTCAAGGTAAAGACATTGCGTATAAATGGTTCATGATCACCCTGACGTATGACCATGTTGGCTATTTGTATGACGGGATCCATTTTCGCCTCTGGAAAAATTCCTTTGCGACCAGCGCATTCAATGTCAAAGGACAAAATACGGAATGGTGCCACTTTAGACCATTCTCCCTCCGGTTCGTGCGATATGAATTTGTCGAAAGCCACATCCACTTCAATTTGGCAACGACTTTCTGGCAGAGGTTTTGAATTACGTCCTCTCAACCTCCATGTTCCTGCTGGCAATTCGATCCAATTACAGCCCACCACTCCCGTGTCCACCATAAAACGTATATCAAAATCTATGTTATTTTCAAAGGCACGACAATCTTGAAAATCAAAATCGCCATAAATGATGTCTCTCTTCAAAAGGCGGGAAGCGGCAGCAACAAATTTTGGCATCGATAGGGTAATTTTTATATACCGCTGTTTGCTATCACCCTGATAGCCATAAATATTTAAACGTTCCACCAACTCCACCTTCAAGACGGCCTCTTGTACACTATCCTTATTACTTCTCATATCCGCAAGGACTTTTTTATCCAAGGCTTCTCGGAACTTATAGCAATCTTTTTGTTCAAACCCGTTGGGTGCAGATAAATAGAAATACGGACAATAACCATGGACATGACAACAAACTGAATTGCCTTCCATTGTAATGCCATACATGCGTATCACTGGCACTGGTCCCAAACGGGCACCTGGCATACCGGGCAGGGGAAAACCAACATAATTTTCAACATCGATTTGTTGAAAAACCAAATTGTCTGTTTCCGGATCCAGTTCGGGGGGATCAACGCGTGACCATTTAACGGAAGTTTGTTGGTTTTCCGGTCCATCACCAAGTAGTTGGGTCATATCCATGTCATCATTGTTAAAATCCATTTCAAATCCTCCCCCCACATCTTCATCGTCATCATCAAAGTTCCTGCCAAAAAAAAACCTGATGAAATACTGAGCATGAACAATCTTGGTAAATAGGGGAATTACCTTGGTTTTTTATTCTCTCCTCCAGTGCCGTTTGTTGAACCACTTGGACCGGGTTTTCTTTTGTTAGCAAAATTACTCATTTCGTAGTTGTTTCTTGATTTATCGCCTTTATCGAGTAAACAATTGAGATAATTAAAAAAATAAGATTTACTAACAGACGCGTATCGAAGAGCGCGCTGAACCAGATTACAATGCCTTCTTTAAAAAACCGTCGCCGTTTAAATAACAAACAAAGGAAATAGAGTGAATGTGGGAAAAGTGCGATAAAGAACAATAATCAAAACAAAAACTGTCAAGCTGTAGGGCTCTAAAGATAAAAAATCTATGCCCGAAACAAATAATTCTTCTAAGCATTTATCACAAAAAATAAACAAATAAAATAGAACAGTGTTGGCATGTTTGTTCGGGGTATCGTAGTATTTTGCTGTTTAAAATAGTCATGCTTAATCCCATTACTGTTGTTTTTTAAAAAAACATCGTTTGTTTATTAGTAAAAAAACTCTAAGGTCCGTTCATGATAGAATACAGGTAGTCGCATCGGCACAGATGCTGGGACAATGAACTGTCAAACCGATTTTGGAATTGAAAATGTTGAATGAAAAATTATTAAAATTTGTAAAAATTGTTTAAACTGTCATATTATAACAACCTCTGAATTGCGTCGTATAAAAAAACATTTAAATATCCACTTATTTTTTGATAAAACATTTTAAAAATTTCAGTAGAGGTGTGAGTAAATAAGCAGCTTGGTATGATGGTTAGGCATATTAATGGCAATTTATAAGGAAAAAGGACGGCAGGATTGAAGTGCGGCTCTAGCATGCCTTTATGATACGGCATGCAAAAACTTCAATCTGCTTATGTACCCTCACCTTAAAATTTCAAAAACATTTACGTTAAAGGATAAAGGGTTTATACGTTTCATACCAAAACTTGTAATAACGAAAAACGATTTATTTGTCCAACAACATCATTTTTTTATCTATCGGAATGATATAATATCCGGCCTAAAACTTATAATTTCTTTGGATTTAAGAGTTTTTCAAAAACATTCGGAAATTACTTTATGTTTGGCACAATATTCATAGTTTTATTCTGTTAAATTTAACTTCATTAAAAAGAGGGTTCTATCATCGATTTATGATAGACAATGAATTTACAAATATACATTTTAACAATAAAATTTTGTAAAATTTTTAATTTGGAAAAATATTGAACTTTATATTCTTAACTTTACAATTTCAAATATTTTTTTGGTTTTTTTTTTGGAAGTTCTTTAAGATTGACTACATCTAATGGTGCAGCTACATAAAGAGTTTTTTTGTAATTGAGAAGAACCATTGCTTATAACTTTAAACAACATTTCTCCTCAAAGACCAATAATTTTCAAATGAAAATGATAAATTGGCCGGCAGTAAGCGTATCGTCTTAGAAGCATACAACCCATTGTGATCTATACTGCTTGATATTGTTATTGACATATTTTGTTATTTATTTATTTATTCACTTATCGAATTATTTACGTATTATCATCGTAAAAATCCCTATAATTATAAAAATTTTCTAAATAAAACAATTTTACAATACACTAATAAGCTATTACTTTATCCAAGGCGTCACCCTCAACAAGAAGAAGCAGAAATCCTCTACTGCTGTCGTGTCATTATTCCGTAGTGATTTACACAATCAAGCATAGATGTTTACTTCACAACAATTTCATTTGTAAAGCCCTAATTTATTTTCGATCATTAGAACCCTACTCTCTTTGGTTGCTGTTTTTGTTTTGATATTAACATTTAACATGCATTGGCGCTTTGCTCATTGTTTCTCATTTCTACTGTGTCACGACGTTGATTTTCTAATAGACGGCTCTGTAATCTGATGCAGACTTGTGAGTGTGCGTAATTTTATACCAAGGATCGACAAAAAAACTGAAAAATTGCAAAAAATAATAATAAAATTGGAATTAAGAGCAGAACAATTGGAGAAAAACTCACTTAGGAGTAGGAGACACTATAACTAGGCTCGAAAATACATCGGCTGAATGCATTTAACATGTTTTAATTGAGGGAAAAAAAGTTCAGCGTAATAAATCCCAAAAGTAGGTGGTGGGGGTGAATCATAAAAAAATATCCTTGCGACAAGGAAACTAGTCTTGCGAGAACTGTGCTGCGGATACAGAGGAGTAGGTATTCCAAGATGTATCAAAGTGCTTGTAATGTGGCCACCACGGGCTCGTGTGCACCCAATGCCGAGGCGGAACGCGAGATTGAACGTCAAAATGCCTTAATGTCACAACAACCACCCACCCAACCAATTGAGCCCGACTACAAGGGAGAAATGGCCACATTTGACATCGTTAAAGCCACACAGTACGGAGCTACGGCGAGAGTAAAAGAACTGGTCGAGGCTGGTTGGGATGTCAATCAGCGGGATAGTGAAACGGTGACCCTGTTGCACTGGGCTGCCATTAACAATCGTCGGGATATTATCAAGTATTTTCTGGAGAAGGGTGCCGTGGTCGATGCCTTGGGTGGTGAATTGAATGCCACCCCCTTGCATTGGGCAACCAGACAAGGTCATTTGGGTGCTGTGGTCTTGCTGATGGCAGCCGGAGCTGATCCTCGGATACGTGATGCCGAAGGCTGTTCCTGTATACACATAGCAGCCCAGTTTGCCCACACGGCCTTGGTGGCATATTTCATAGCGAAAGGTGTTGATCCTGATTTACAGGATCGTGGTGGCATGACAGCCCTTATGTGGGCGGCTTGGAAGGTGTGTGCTTTGGATCCGGTGCGACTGCTACTGACCCTGGGCGCAAATCCTGCCATGGTCGATTATACACACGGCAATACGGCATTACATTGGGCCATACTGGCACGCAATTCCACGGCCATAAGTACTTTAGTTTTAAAATCCAAGGCTTCCTTAGATGTGCCTAATCTACGCGGCGAAACCCCACTCAGCATGCTGGAATCACAGGCAGGTGCCGTGTGGATTGGTGGCAAAGTTATGGAGCGGGTGCGTGATGCATCGCTGACCTCACAGCAACGGCGCAGCCTGATAACACGTGTGAAACATGATAAACGTTTGCGCTGGTGGTCAATGGTTGCATGTCCCTTTACGGCCTTCTATTTGGCCGGTGTGGTCTTTACACTGAACACCTTGTATATTATTAAGTTCTTTTTGTTGGTATGCCTGTATGCGGTGTTTCATACGTTGGGCAAGACGCTGTTCGACGATCATCTGATGGCCCTGCTGCCGTTGAGTGTGTATTTGGCCACCAAGGCCTGGTTCTATATTACCTGGTTTGTGTATATCATTGATGCTGTGTCGTTTGGTACCACATTGCTGTTCTTGCTGTGTTCCGGTGGCTTGTGGTATTGCTTTTTGAAGTCGTGGAAGGGTGATCCGGGTATTATACAACCAACACAGGAGCAACGGTTTAAGGTGGGTGGCAATGAGGGGCATCTGAGTTGATTTTTTTAATGTTGTTTTTAATTTCAGACCATTATTGAGTTGTCGGAACGTGGCGGTGTGGGCTTTGAACCTTCCTCCTTTTGTTCGGGCTGTTTGGTTAGACGACCCATACGCTCCAAGCATTGTAGCGTGTGCGATCGGTGTGTGGCCCGTTTCGATCATCATTGCCCCTGGGTTGGCAATTGCATAGGCCTGAAGAATCACACCTATTTTATGGGTTTCCTGTGGATGCTGTTGGTCATGTGTGCATGGATGATTTATGGCGGATCTTATTACTACATGAATACTTGTAATGTGCATTTTGATGGTGAGTGTGGGAATTTAAGGAGAGTGGGAAGAACGAATTTTAATGAGATGGTTTTTTTTTTGTAGATCTCTTGGCAGCTTTGAGGGCCATTGGGGACTGCAATGCCTGGATTGGTTTTGTCATGGCCAATGCCTTGCTGCACATGTCCTGGGTCATATTGTTGACCATTTGCCAGACATATCAGGTCATATGTCTGGGTATGACCACAAATGAGCGCATGAATCGTGGTCGTTATCGGCATTTCCAGGCACGCAGTGGTAAATCACCCTTTACCCGCGGAGCCTTTAACAACCTGATTGATTTCCTTGAGTGCACCTGTTTTGGGTTGTTCAAACCCAAACGCATCGACTGGATGAATTACTACGATTTCGATGTACACACCAGCAAACCCATAGAACATGAACCATTGTTGAGCAATGGTGGCGGCGGTGGTGGCGACGATTCAACGGCAGTCTCAGCTTCACATAATTTTCAGTATGTGTAGGATAAGTCGAATCGGGATGCGATGACACGTAAGGCACCCATAGCTAATGTCTAAAAGAAATGTCTAAATTCCAATAGAGCAAAACGAACACAGAACAGATTCAACAGAGCCAACAACAGATGCAAACTTTTTCTAAACTACTATTTTAAGTTCGAACTGAAGCAAAAGTAAAATTTGTTGAGGAAAATTTCCAAAGCAATTTCCTTTGTTGCTTTTTTTGTATAAGGAGAAGAAGAAGAAGAAGCAAGCATAACTTCCGTGTATTTATTTAACAAAGTATTAACTTGTGTGCTTATTTATATGTATGTATAGTAGGATTTTTTTTTACAAACAAACGAGCTTGTTATATTTTTGTTTTTGGATTTTGTTTTCCCCCCATTTTTTGTTTATTATTAATATTATTTATATGTATAACTTTTACGTTTAGTTTAAGACTAGCTGCTCAAAGTTTTTTGATATATTTTGTAGGTGAAAATCAGAAAAAAAGAGAAAATCGTTACGGAATGCCATATAGGTACATATAAACGTATTTATTTTTTCATTTATAGGAAAAATATATAATTGTATTAAAACTTGTGTTAGGAGAGTAATTTTAAACCACCTTTTAAAACAAACTAAAACATATGAAATGAAAACCACACACATTTATTTGTATAGGCAATTTTTAGAACAAAACGAATTTGAATTAAAAAAAAAAAAACGAGAAACAAAACCCCTGAACAAAATGTCATCGCATACCGATTCCCTAAATTAAGTAAATCAACAGAGGAGGAGGAAAAAATACTTAAAACGAGAAAAGAGAAAAACAAATTATTTGTGTTTTTACATCAACAAAGTTGTACATTTTTCTTAATCCCTATAATTAAAACACAAAACAAAAAAATTGAAAATTTCCAAAAAACAAAAAAAATGTTTCCAAAATTCACTTACACACGTACACACACACATGCATGCTAACAAATTGTAATGAAACGAATGAATGAGTGTTGAATTCCCGCAACAAACAAAAGACATGTAAAATATTTTCTGTTTTATTTAAGGCTAATATAATCAATAGACTTTCATTTATATATACATACAATATATATATAGAAATTATCAAGTGTCATTAAGTAATTCGATAACAACAACAAAAAAGCAAAACCAATGAAACCTTAAATAATTGCAATTTTTCGATAAATTTTTTCTTTTTGTAATATTTAAATATTCATCAAAAATTAAAAAAAAAAAAAACAAAATAAACATCAACAACAACAAATTGGCTTTATGGCACTGCAAACCGGATTGCTATAATTAAAGCACAGACAATTCGAAATAATGTAAAACGCTGGAAAAAATCCAAAGAAAAAATTACTTAAATAAATATTATTAAACAAAGAAAAAATACAAAACAAAACGAAAAACGAAACACAAAAAGAAAAACATAAACAATAATAAAAACAAATTCCATTAAAATTAATTAACAGGTATTTTAACTTTTGGAAGAACAAAAAGAAAACTGAAGTAGAACTGGGAGTGGATTCTTGTTCTATGAAAATATAAAATGAAAAATATTTCCTTTATAGAAATTTTCCATTGACATTTTCACAGAACAAGAATTGAGGCCTTGGTCTAGGCATGAAATCTTATGTCGGTTTTGTCTCACATATTATTGTAAAGGGATTTTGAAAAGGGTATTTTAAGAATATTAAACGTGGGGTTTTGAAGAAAGTTTTTGTCCAATAAATGAAGATTTTCAAACATTGCAAGTCCAATTATCTAGGATTTTTAAGGACAATTTCTGGTCCCCATTAAAGTCTAATACACGTGGATTTTTTCAACAAATTTTTTAGTCCTCTTCGAGATTTAAAAAAGGGGGTGGTTTCAAAGACATCTTCTGGGTCAAATCGAAGCACATTGTATGTATTTTATTTTCAAAATAAAAAAGAAAACTGAGGTAGAACTTGTCTTTGTGATTTCTGCCAACATATAACTCTAAAGGGGGTTTGAAGAAGGTTGTTTTAAGAATATTAAACATGGGGTTTTGAAGAAAGTTTTTGTCCAATAAATGAAGATTTTTAAACATTGCATTGAATGGCCAATTACAATGGATTTTTAAGGAAATTCTCTAATCCCCTTTAAGGTCCAATACAGTTGGATTTTTCAACAAATTTTTCTAACCTTCTTCGAGGTTTAATAAAAGGGGGGATTTCAAGAACATCTTTTGGATCTACTCGAAGCACATTGTATGTGTATTTTTTGAAGAGGTTTCCGGGCCACATTTACCCCAATTAATGTGGATCTTGAAAGAAAATTTCTAAGACTCCTCAAGAAGTAACAAATGTGGATTTTTTTAAAGAAAATTTCCAGGACTTCCCGGGGGTGGATTTCCAAACAATTTTTTTAGTGTTCTTCAAGGTTCAATAAATGTGGATTTTTTAGTACTCTGTAAGTTCCAATTAACGTGGATTTTTTAAACGAATTTTCTAGTCCGCTTCGAGGTTCAATAAACGTGAATTTTTTTTGAAGGAATTTTTTAGTCCGCTTCGAGATCCAACAAACGTGGATTTTTTAAAGCAATTTTCTAGTCCGCTTCGAGGTTCAATAAACGTGGATTTTTTAAAGAAATTTTCTAGTCCGCTTGGAGGTCCAATAAACGTGGATTTTTTTAAAGAAATTTTCTAGTCCGCTTCGAGGTCTAATAAACACGAATTTTAAAGAAAAATCTTAGTCCCGTTTTCAAGAATTTTTCTAATAACCTTAGAGGTCCAATACTCGAGGATTTTTATAAAAATTTCTAGTTCTCTTCGATTTAAAATAAGCCTGTATTTTTCAAGAAATTCTCTAGTTCTCTTCGATTTAAAAAAAGAGGTTCAATTATGGTGTATTTTTAAAGACTTTTTCTTGTCCTCTTCGGTGTCCAATAAATCTGAAATTTTAAAGTGATTTTCTTTTCCTCTTTAGGGTCCAATAAACCTGAATTTTTAAGGTAATATCTTAGTTATTTTTAAAGATTCTTTTTTTGGTCCTCGCAGAATCCCAACAAACCTGGATTTTTTAAAAATATCATTTAAGCCCTCTCCAGTCCAATTAAAAGCATTTTTTGAACCTCAGTAAAATCCTACAAATGTGGATTTTTTAAGAAAAATCCTCCTCTAGCCCAATTTTAAAGAAATTTTCTGGATCACATTGAAGCCGAAACAAAAGAAAATTATTTTAAGTCTCTTCTAGTCCAATTTAAAGAGATTTTCTGTGCTTGTTCTGAATGTGGATTTTTTATATAATCTTCCAAGCCTCTTTTGACCCAATTTTAAAGGAATTTTCTGGGACTCCCTGAAGCTCATGAAACGTGTATTTTTTAAAATAAATTTCCTAAATCTCCTCTAGTCCAATTTTAAAGAAATTTTCTGTTCTTCCCTAAAGCCCATGGAATGTGGATTTTTAGAACACTGTTAGCATGTTTGTTTGAGATACCGTAGTATTTTGTTGTTGCAAAAATCGTCAGGCTTAATCCCATTATTGTTGTTTTTATAAAACAACATTTGTTTATTAGTGGAGAACGATGGTAATGTTTACCATGGGGTAAGGCGGGGAATACCTAGGTTTCGGAAAGAGCCACCAATCCTCATCAGTTCCCTTGTTTTTTGCCTGGAATATTATCCTCAGAAGTTATTTTAAAATAACTCCTATGACAAAAAACTTTTTTTTTTAAATCTTCCAAGCCTCTTTTAAGCCAAAAGAAATTTTCTTAGACTCCCTGAACACAAGAAATAAAAATGATTCTTTTTTGAAAGCGTCCCCTATTCCAATTTTAAAGAAATTTTCTGGCCCTCCCTGAACTCCATAAATCGTGGATTTTTTAGAAAATGTTTTGAGCCTCCTCTGATCCAATTTGAAAAAAGTTTTCCTTGCTTCCCAGAAGCCAATGAAACGTGGATTGTTTAAAAAATGTTTGAAGCCTCCTCTGACCTAACATTAAAGAAATTTTTTTTACCTCTTAGAAGCCCAGGAAACGTGTATTTTTTAAAGGAATTTCCTAAGCCTCCTTTAGCCTAATTTTAAAGAAATTTTCCTTACCTCCCTAAAGCTCAGGAAATGTGGATTTTTTAAAGAAATTTCCTAAGCCTCCTTTAGCCTAATTTTAAAGAAATTTTCCTTACCTCCCTAAAGCTCAGAAAATGTGGATTTTTTAAAGAAATTTCCTAAGCCTCATTTAGCCTAATTTTAAAGAAATTTTCTGGGTCTCCGTGAAACCCATAAAACGTGGATTTATTAAAGAAAGTGTCTAAGCCTTATCTAACCCTATTTCAAAGATATTTTCTGGGCCCTGGAGCCAAAAAAAAAATGTTTTTTTTTTTCTAATCTTTTTCTAGCCTAAATTTGAAAGAAATTTTCCGGACTTTCCTGAAGCCCATGAAACGTGAATTTTTTAAAAAATGTTTTAAGTCTCCTCAGACCCATTTTAAAGATATTTTCTGGGCTTCCCTGGAGCCAAACAAAAATTGATTGTTTTAAACCTCTTCTAAATTTTATAGGAAATTTCCAGACTTCCCTGAAGCCGAATGAACATGGATTTTTAAAGAAATGTTTAATACTCCTCTATTCCAATTTTAACGAAATTTTCTGGGCTTCCCTGAAACTAAAAAAGAGAAAAAAATCTCTACCAACCTCTCATTCTCTCACCACACTCCCAATGGAAGAAAAAAATAACCGTTGTTCCCAATTTTGAAGAAATTTTCCGGACTTCCCTGAAACCATCCAAAACATGGATTTTTAAAGAAAATGTTTAAGAGTCCTTTGAATCAATTTTAACGAATTTTTTTGGGCTTCCCTGAAACAAAAAAAGAAACAAAATCCCTCCCATACTCTCTTTCTCTTACCAAACTCTCAATAGAAGAAAACAAATTGTTTTTTTTTTTGGTTGATTTCTTTGCAGTTTTTTATTTATGTTTTTTTTTGGTTGTTTTTATTTTTTGTTTTTATAATTATAGTTATTACAAGTACACAAATATTTTGTTGTTTAGTTGGTTGTTTTAATTTATTTTTTTCATATATATTATAAAAAAATTCTTTTCAAGGGGTTTTTTTTCTTTTGTATTTCACTTGTTGTTCTTGTTTTTATTTAAAGCCAAACCTAAAAAATTACATTTAAAAAAATTTAATCTTATTTAGAGAAATGTATAGTTGATGGTTTTCTTTTTCACTTTTTGTTTTTGTTGTCTTGTTTTATTCCCTTAATTTTTAGAGATAATATATATATATTAAGCCTATGATATATAATTTTTTTGGGGGGAATTCATACAGCAGTTATATACGAGTTTTTATTGCATTAAAAAGAAATCAAAATGGGATTAAACGTTTAAAACGTTGGCTTCCTGTTTTGAAATTTGATATTAAATTGGGGCTGGGTCTAGGAGGGAGGGGGACAAAGGGGTGTATGGTATTGGGTGTGACAAATAAAATAAATAAAAATCCCAACAGTTTAGTGCAACCTTTGTCGATTTATTTTAGATAAGCACAGTTAAAAAATTGTATTTTATTTTATTTTTTTGTTAAAAATACATTTTTTATTTTTTTATTTTCATTTTTTTTTTGTTAGGTGGGCTTTTTTATTTTGTTTTCTTTTTTTGTTGTATTTTTTTTATATAGCAAAAATAGTTG